TGATAGACCAGGGGTTTTGCAACGTGCTCGTGCAAGTAAACAAGTCCATGACATTACGCAGAACGCGCACGTCGGTGCTCAAGCAATGGGCACATGCAAACGCCAAATTGTCTCGACTTCACGTGCTCCAGTTCGGCAGTAACCGCATTGGGGAAACCCCGCGCTCCACAGCTTTCAGGCCCATCCCACGTCATAGCAGATATGCACTGTATTCGTTTTCCAGTCACGTAATTGGTCTATTAATGTTCAAGCATCCGGCATTCTAGATTATCAGTGTCAAATTTTCTTACCATGCACAAATCATGTGTTCTCTGCATGCCAAATTGTAAGATGTGGATCTATTCTAAAGACACAGCCTGAATTTACACCTCGGCTTTGAGCATGAGCAGGGAAGCACCGCTTTGGTCCCGCCTTAGTCAGAACCCAGTAATCTGAGCAAATGATACTCGGCGAAGAATTGGAAAAAGTGAAGCTTGATAAGCGCTTCTGTCGAATAACCCGTGACTGATGGTTATACGGGACATGGGCGACCCATGGCGACCCATCGAAGCGAGGCGGAGGGTCTGAAAGTAAATGTCTAGCGCTAGAGCTAGTGGTGGACAACACGGAAGGCTTATGACCCCTGGCCGGTCGATGATCGAGACAGCGGGGTATGCGCCCTACGCCAGTATAAAAACCTCGGGATACATGACAAACAGTCCAGACACCTGTGTTTATCATCTCCTCCTCTTGACTCAACCCAAAAGTATCCACATCAAGTTTTACCCCACATCACAGTCAACATGCCTACGGGAGGATGTATGTGCGGCAACGTCCGCTATGAGGTGCAGGGCGACATGGAGGCCCAGGTAAGTGGTACTTCCTACAAGCTAAGACAAGGCTAAAAGGAAGTACAGATCCTTTGCCATTGTTATGACTGCCGTAAAATCTCCGGAACGACCTATTCGACCAACGCCCTCCAGAGCAAGGATGGATTCAAGATCCTCCAAGGAACTCCCAAGGAACACAAGAAGACAGCAGATAGCGGGAGCAATATTACATCCTTCTTCTGGTTCGTAACAGCGCAGATTGTAGATACAGCTTCTAACGTTATGCAGCGGTGATTGCGGCTCCACCATGTGGCGAGAAAGTGACAGCTACACTGGCAAGATGATCATCAAGGTATGTCCACAGGTATGTATGGCTGGTCGGCCCTGCTAAGTGGTGAACAGGTGGGAACTCTAGACGATCATAGCATCCTTGACAACTTCAGCACCAAGATAGAGTTGTTCACCAAGAACAGGCCCAAGTGGGTTGGCACCCAAGAAGGCGCTGCTCAAAAGTAAACCATGGCTTGAGCGTTATGGCGTTTGTATATAACAACGACAGCTGGGAATCAGGTGTACGGATCGAACGGCGACAAGCGGCAACGGGAATGGCGAACAATTGCGGAGTCGGAATCGGCTGCGAGTGCCAGGCCAGGTACCGAATCTACGAGCTCTATTCGGAGTCTGAACTCTCTGGTTCCTTTAAGCGTTCCCTCATCATCTGTAATTGTCAGCAATGCGCGTGTCGCCTGGTATCGTGATGCGCACCTGATTCAGTCGGGCCTTGAGCTCGTTAATTTTGGTCTCCTTGACAAGGATGTGCTCCTCGTCAAGTTCCTCAATGATGTACTCATTGTTGTTTTTGCTGTCGATGTCCACCAGCATGGCTTTGATTGAAGCATCGCACTTGACGAGCGTTCCTAGGGCGTTTAGCAAAGCGAAAGGGGTTATGGCGTGAACAGAAGCAATACCTCTGATGGCTTTGACCATTTCAAAGATGGTGTGGAGGATGTCTGTGGGGGGCCGACTGTGTATGTAGTAACTAACTGGACAACAGGGTGCGAGCAATCAAAGGTAGGAGCGGCTGACGCGATTGCTTGGCGGAATCTGCAATGATCAGCGCGCTAACATTCTAAGGGTGTTTGCTGCACGCCAGCTGCGAGTGATCACAACGCCATCCCCAACTTTGCCCTGTCGGCCTTCAGCTGCATTTCTCAATCATACAATGTAAAGAACTTCTTTCTACGATGAATCAACGCATCAACGGCACTCCACTGTGCTTCGCACCTACTCCTCGGCCCCAAAGTAGTGTTGCCACTCACTACTTGCTTCTTCGGCACTCAGCTATCGCAGAAGGAAATGGCTGTTCGCCATGATCCTGAAACATGTTGCTAGAAATAAAGACACGAGCGCGACCCTACCTTCCGCCGCGTCCTATTCCCTTTTCTCTGTTCTGGCCTCGCCCTCTTGAGGGTAGTGTTTTCATACTCTTGCTCCTGCTGGACGCCTCTGCTTCTTCTACCGTCGTTTCGTTCATCCTTCCTTTTCCGAGCCATTTAAGGGCAAGCTCCCCGGTTTCGCTTCCATTGTGGTGTTTATCGACATAATGCCCTTGCTTCCTCGTATGGTCATAGCCGCCAGGCAAGTGTTCGAGGACGAAACGCCACACGAAGTCAGTGCCTTCAAATACTACTTCCTCCTCATCGGCGTGCTTGTTGTGATGGTCGCTTTCTTGCTATGGTACTTGAATCGACGTACGAAGCATAGAAGAGAGTTTTTTGGGCAGGACAGCGAGCAGCCACCAGCAAGGGATATCCAAACGTGGTCTCAACCTCGGAGATTCATGTATGGTATTTACGAAGCCAGCAACTCATTCCTTAGCCGCCAGAGTGAGGGCCCAGATCAAAATGGCGATGCTCCACCACCGTATCAGCCCAAGTCAAGAGCCCCAACTATCGATGTGGAGATTCCACTTCCAACCCTCTCGAGGAGTCTGAGTCAACGCTCGCAACACTCGCAACCACCGCACTATCCTAGCAGTACTGGAGCAGCCACAAGTACCACCGAACGACAGGAAGTTTTTCACTCTTGAAGAGCCACTGGAACAAGACAGGAGGGCCAACCTTGCGGTTTGGCTACAGGGAGAGAGTTTGGGACCATAATATCCATCAGAACCCATACTGGGCACTTTGTTCGACTACGGAAGTTTTGATCAGCCACTATGAATCAACTTATTCACAGTTCCGATACTCCCTTTTACTTTTGAACTTTGCACGCGCTTACGCTACTGTCTTATATGATTGAACCCGACCGCCAAGAATCAACTTAGTCGCGAGCCACCTGGACTATACCTTCTGGCATCCTCCATAGTCGCGTCGTATCGACCACTTGCAGTTTACAGCCTTGATCCTATATGCAGTGTAGCGTCGAAAGTCTGTCTTGTGGTTTCAAGCTAGCACGAGACACATTTCCTGCAAGTTATCTTGCCACGCCAAGTGCTGCGTCGCTTGGATCTGACATGCTTCTCGTTGCCTAGTTGCCACTGGAGGTCCTCACCAATGCCCAGTTTCAGCATATGGCCAAGGGCTAAGCGTTCTCCTTCTGTCCGGGCGCTTTCAAAAACGTCCAGGTACTGTCATGAGTGGTAACTAGCTAATGCAGCTATCATGGACTCAAATTTTACGAAGATCTCATACGTAGGCAACAAGAACGATGTATCATGAATTGGCCACCTGCGTCTTCTGATCTTGAAGATACGACCTTCCCATACTACCTGACCAGATTTTGCATTCTTAAGCGTCATTGTGTATACTCCTGAGTGCAAGGTTACTAATCGGATTTCTGCTTATGTTATGCTAGTTCGGCCTGCTACCCGGACCATGCCGCTTCCCCTCTCGCGTGGTGGCCGCATCATGCAAAAGCGGCACGACGGCATACAGGCGGCATATTGGGTGCACAGGACAGTCATGATGGTTGCATCTTACTTTGTGTTCAGTAATCTGTCATCCTACTGGCTGTTCCTCGGTTCAGAAAAATTCGAACCTCCCCTTCCATCGCACAGCCTTCGTACGAGGCCATGAAGCACACACGTAGTGTACACTGAACGCACTGCCAAGATCTCGTCATGCACCCCACCATGACCAGTTGGCTACCGATATCTCACTATGCGAGGATGCTGCACCTTTTCCGACCGCCGTTCGACATGCTGCTTGTGATTCCAAATTGTCTAACAAAGCCAAGAAATTTCACAGTAGAAACTCTAGGCTACTTCTGATCGCTATACTTGCCCAAAGTGTAGACTAACGGAACGATTCCTCACTCAATGTGACTGTGACGTCGAGTACTACGCATGGATGGGCTTGCTTACCGTACCCAAACTGTACCTGACTAGGTAACATGAGGCAAAAGCGTACTTGATTATAAATTCGTCCGTTGGTATGCTGCCATGAGAAGCAGTGATGGCATTTGAAGCTGCACGATCGGTGGCTTGCATGTTATACCTTTCTCCCGAACTGCTCGGAGCCGAGCTCGGTAGGCCGAGAACAAACAGACCAATCAAGTTTGCCAACATACGCCACTGGATAAGGCTACTTCTTCTCTACAAAATTCCATCACCATCCGTTGTACAATAATCTCATAGTTATGACTGAATCGCGCCAAGATGAATGGCTATTATCGGCATGTTCAGCTGTGGCACTAATGCATCGGCCGATCTCCAGTCTCCACCTTCTATGCTAAGGCTTCTAGCGCAATGGAGCAATTTACTACCAACACACCGGAGAGCCACTTGCTCTTGATAGCTCTCACTAGATTTTCTAATCATTCCGACATTGATCTCTCTACAACTTTCCATGCGCCATGGTTAAACATCCCTGTTCATGGGCGGTGTCTGAAAGGGCTAGTAGCATGCAACCAGCCCCAGGGACTGATAACATATCGAGACATAGGGCAGGGCAGAGACGCAGTAAAAGGTGAGACATCCCATAATAGGAACAATTCCATTAGAGACACTTTCTGTGGATGCGTAAGAAAGACGCCCGGCATTCACTTCGGCCGGGTCGAACATTGAGACGAGTCCTTTTCTTGATATCAGCACAACATCGAAGCATATATCGTCACTGAATTCCCACCACCGCCAGCATCAAGCTACATTGTTGCCTAAAACACCGATCATCTGCTATCCACACAACAGTCATGTCTATACCAGGAAATCTCGTCGTCAGTGAGTCATATCGCTGTCCGTTAACAGAATAGTAGCTTTGGATACATTTGTAACAACCTTAGTCACCTGCAACGAGGCCAATCCAATAATTGACCCGGCACGCCACTTCAATCTTAACACTAGTACTACACGGGTTATCAGAACGGCTGGAGGACGCACAGAAGGAGCCATCAGCAGTATCTATCAAGTAGCTCAATCGGTCAAGATTGACATGATTATTGTTGTTCAGCATACTAGTATGTGTTTACTTTGTTTTTTATGGAGTCTGTCTCTAATCAGCTGTTATTTAGGCTGTCCATGGTTGCCAGGAGAAGTGGAAAATAACATCCGGTCAGACATTCAAGGGCTCAAAGCCTCACCGTATATTCAGGATGATATATCCATCATTGGATATGTCCTTGATCTGGCCACTGATCGACTACGTGAGGTCAAGTACGTTGAAGCTCTCTTCGGCCCGTCTTCATGGCAGTCTACATCTCCAGTTGTTATTTTTCAAAATCCGATTTTTCCCTTCTTATGGCACTCTGCAGGCAATCCATCCTCACGCTGAAGAGGGGGCTAGATCAAATTCGATACATGCTAGAATTATGAATTGATTGGAGCTAATATGCAAATTAGTGTACCTCGAACCGGGCCTGGAGCTGAAGCAAGACAGCATGTACTCGATCAGATGAAAGACTTTGGTCCGTTCTGGAGCTGAGACATCTATGTATCTGCATAGTTTGCAACACATGGAATGATTACTCATCTGCTGACCACAGGTAATTATACCAAAGACTATATAGACTATAACGAGAACATGAGATCACGCCTAATCAATCGTTTTTCTGCATCATGTGCGTGTTACCTCGAACCCCTCAATTATATACTATGAGCTTCGAATTACATTACAGGTCCTCGATCAGCTTCGTAAGATGCTATCAACACCTATTAGCAATACAAATAAAACTTGACGATCCCATAAAGAACACTTGTTCTTACCTTTCCAAGTCAAGAAGACTATCCCAGGAATATCATAGTTCTCGCCCAAACCCGTATAGTACCTTGGCACTCACCTGGTATATGTAATTGCCTCCGGGTTGGATTGACGTCAGTCAACACTTCCATTTTATCCCCTCACATTAACCTCCTCAATTTGTCCATCCGGATGGCGGGTATTGGAATAAATCTACGATTACCGTTCCGTGTCACGATGCATTTGCAATATAGAGTAACTACTATCAGGAATCAATGTGCCAATCAAGCGATAGGCCAGTTACCACCCAGCCTTCTTCGGAGCTCCATTACATATGGATATGTTCTTTTTCACTGCCCTTTTCAGAACGTCGTCCGGACGCTGCGGGAAAATGAATATGAATAGAAGCTTTTCCAGCATTAGACGAGCGTGAAAACCCCCGTATCACCTTTCCTAGCTTACTTCCGGTCGCTATCATTTATATTTTTAGATCAAGTTCGTGCGAGATACTTCAAAGATCTCAACTTATATCAAATTCAAGTGGATTAAACGCTTTGGCCCTGAGCACAATACGCAAACCAAGTCCGATCCAAGTCCAATAATCAAGCGATACTATCAGAACCATCCCCATCCACAGATGGCTCAAGAGAATCCTCGCTACAGCATTATGCACAGAATCAGGTGCCCAGATGTGTCTGATGCTCTCAGATCTGCAGTGGTTGAGAACGCACGTGCGAGTTCGAACCAAGGAAGCCAACGCGAAGATCAGCACACGCCGCGGGTATCGGAGCACCCAGCCACGCATCTGGGATCTCACAGACCATGGTTCGAGATAGCGTTGGCATGGACTGGTGTGCGGACAAATCTCTACTATTGGTGCATCCATACCGCTAACGCACGCATGCAGTCACACGCCCGCTTTATCTGCTTCCGCCACCGACGCGAATACATGAAGTACGCAGATACTTTTGTAAATCACTCAATTTGGAAGGAATCGTTACGTAGTTCCGTTTATTACTAGGTCAAACGACCAATCGCAAACTATGATATTTCTTTTTCCGTATCTGCATACTAATGCATCCGGGTCGTCGATGCCGCTGCCTCTGTGCAGGGTCATCTACACGCGTCGTCAGCTTCTTCAAATCAAGCGGAGAATGGCATGCGGTAGTGGCAACATTGCCGCATTGCGGGGTTCCTAAGCGTGGCTGTAGCTGTGGTGTTAAAAGCGCGGTTGTCCCGTGGGATATGGCGCCGAGATGAGCGCTGGTAGTCCTCACGCTGGCCTGTGTATGGAGTATCGGCTATGGCGAAGAGCAGTGACAAAGATCGAGCAACAGTGGAGAACATGAGGGATGTCGAGAAAGCAGGTGTTGCGCAACAGGTGGAATGTGGACAGGAATCTGTAGCTGTGAATGCTACGGCTTCGACAGAAGATTCGCTGTTATCCAAGGCTCGGTGTGTAGCACTGGTTGCGGTGCTGACTATAGCATCTATTATGAGTGTAAGTGGAGACTTTTTATCTTGAGAAACAACAACTGATCTCGAATAGACAGTGGCGATACAAGATTCAGTTAGTGTGCTACCCACCATCGGACGAGAACTGAGCATTCCTGCTAGCCGACAGCACTGGATTGTCTTGTCTTACAATATTACATTTGTACCATTCCTTGTCAGTCACTCACATGCTCTCTTCGAGGGTCTTTCTAATTCTCCCGACAGATATTCAGTGGCCGCTTGGCAGACATTTACGGCCGACGACGAACATACCTCCTAGGCTCGTCATTCTTCACAGCAGCATCAATAATGGCACCCTTTGTCCCGAACGAAAGTGGTTTCGACGCTATACGCGGACTACAGGGTCTCAGTGCCGCAGCCATGGCATCCGCTGCGCTGGGAATCCTATCTTCCACATTCTCACCCGGAAACACCAAAGACATAGCATTCAGCTTCTTCGCTATCGGCGCACCCCTCGGATTCGTTTTCGGGAACCCCCTTGGCAGTCTAATCGGCGAGCATCTCCCCTGGCAATGGACATACTGGATCCTCAGCATCACCGCCGGCATCTCAACAATCGCAAGCTACTACATCATCCCACGACCGCCTCCTTCCCCCACCCCCATCAAAGCCAGCACAATCGACTGGATCGGCGCCGCAGTCCTCACACTCGCTCTCATCCTCCTCGTCCTCACTCTCTCCAACGGCAACAAACTCGGCTGGCGCACCCCCTGGATCCCCACACTCATTGTCCTTTCCTTCCTCCTCTTCGCAGGCTACACATACTGGCACTACCGCCTCTCCAGAACACCCAACAAGACCCCCTTCATCGCCCCCTTCATCCTCACCCAAAAGCAACTCACACCCACCCTCGTCATATCCGCGCTCCTAACAGCTTCATACACCATTTTCCTAGCCACCTCCCTCCGCTGGTTCACAGCATACCAAACCCTGTCTACTCTGCAAATCACCTTCAATTTCCTCCCCGCAGGTATCTGCGCCCTGCTTGTCGCACTGATAACACCCCTGCTCCTATCCCGCGTACCAGGGTTATACATCCTACTCTTCAGCACCACGTGCGTAGCTCTATCCTGTCTCCTCCTTGCTATACCGCTTCCAGAACATACGAGCTACTGGGCCTACGGACTCCCAGGTATGCTATTTTGCGCTACAGGCGTCGTCACTGCGGGAGCTGTGCTTATGCTTTTTGTGGCGAGGATGGTAGGGCCGGAGGATGCAGCTTTGGCAGCAGGGCTAATCATGGGTGCGGGGATGGTTGGGCGGGTGATTGGGGGTGCTGTTGCGGTGGCGGTGGAGATGGAGGTTGAAGGTGGGAGGAAGGGAGTGGCGCTGGCGCCGGGGGACAAGGTATTGAAAGAGGGGATAAGGAGTATGGCGTGGTTTGGTTTGGCGGTTAGTGTGGTAGCAGTGATGGTGGTTGGGGGTTTTACAAGGGGAATGGGGGTTGTTGGGGGGAAGAGAGTAAACGGGTAGGATGTTTTGTAAAAGTAAATAGATGTTTTTTTTGTTACAAGAGGAATGAACTCGACTCATTAGAAAAGAACAGGGAAGAAGTAGATAGTGGATCAGTAATCAGCTCATTACCCACATATATCTGCATTATTTCCCCTCGGTAACATTTTAACCAAAAAAACACCATGTACACCATCCTATGCTCCCAACTTCTCCCGAACCTTCTTAACACACGCCTTCTTCTTCCAACAAGCCCTATACCACGCATCCAAACCCTTGAACCTCTCTGCACTCCACCCATTCCAGTCTTCCACCAACGCATCAACAACAGGCCAAACAAAGCAATCCGCAACACTAAACCTAGCCCCGGCTATATACGGCCCAGCATGCATTTCGAACCCATCCTCTAATCGCAGGAGTAGAGAAGAAAGAGTAGCATCAAGCTCGGATACCGTTTCTGTCGGTGAATTGGCACGGGAAAGCCATGTTTTCGTGATATCGGCGGTGACAAGCATAACCAGGTATGCGGATGCGGTTACAGAGTGGGATGAAGGTGAGGTATCGATCGGATGGTATCGATCGAGGTAGAGTAAAATGGAAAAAGGGGTGTGAATCTCTGTGTGATGCGTGTCTGTGTCGCGAAACGTAACCTGGCGGTCCCGTTCGTACGTTTTGTCTGTTGCCGGTGCTTCGAGGAGCGAATAGGGGATTTTGCATTCTGCGAGGGCAATTTGGACTTGGCGAGTCTCGATGGGGCTGTTGGAGGCGAAGAGGAGGGGGGTGTCTTTTGGTGGGGTTTGAAGATGGAGAGTGTCAAAGCCATCGCCGTACCATTCGTCCCAATCGAAATCTGGGTCATGGTTTTCGCGGCTGAATGCTGTGATGACGCGTTTGGCTTCCTCTTCGTTGCCGTTGATCACGTCTGCTGCGTCACGTTGCTCTCGGGCTGTTGCACCTTGGCCCCATATTATGCATTCCTTTGCGTCGAGAAAGGTGCCAATGTTGCGAAACGTCAGGCTGATGCGTATGCCATTGTGGCTCGTTTCCGCCTCACTGCGTTCGGAAGCCAGGCGCTTGTCCGGCTGGATAGCGTGAAGCCATTTCTTATTTGATTCGAGTCCAAGGACAAACATGGAGTTGTGTGGTAGAGGCACACGCTGGGTCTCGCGCTGGGCAACAGCGCTGTCTTCCACCAAAGTCTCATCCTTCTTCAATTGCGGTTTCTTTCTGCGAATACGCATAGTGCGTTGCGATCCAAAGCTCACGTTGACAATAGAAGAGCCTTTAACAATGTCGAGAGTCTTGTCCGAATGTTCAGATATGAAATCGTTACCCGATCGATAGAGCTGGATCAAGACGTGATTCAGTGGATGTCCTACGAGCTTTTCAGCTTGCTTCCGTATTAGTTGCACCTTTGGCGAGAAACGCAAAAGTGGGAGAGTTTGATCTGCTGGATGACGGTAAACGGGCATGGATCCATCGTCTCCAAATGTACCCTGGCAGCACACGAGACGTGGTACTTCGCCCTGCTGGTGTAGCATTTTCTGCCATCGTACTTCGTTATAGAGCTGTCCAAATATAAGGTCCTTTAGTGGTTGAGATGGATCGGAGGAGTGACAGAGATCGCTTGGAAAGAAGTTGTGTATAATCCTTGAGTCGCCTTCTGCGATTTCATCTCCAGGTCCAAGGACAGGCAAGTTGGCGAGTGACTTTAGCTTTGAAGATTTACTCTTGGTTGGAGCTTTCGCTGTTTCCTCAACAGGCGTTGTTGTAGATGTTACTGGCAGCGTCTCATTTCGTAGCGGCTCAACGGCAGGCGACTCTGACTGTGACACGGAAGCTGGCTTTCCACTCTCCACAAGGGCCTGCTGGATTTCCTTCTCATCTTGTTTCGAAATCGTCGAAGCTGCCTTTGAAGAAGGAGCTGAGCCTCGTTTCGCATCAGGTCCGGAATCCGATTTGGGCCCTCTGGAAAGTGACATGCGTACTCGATCCGAAAACCCTGATAGTCTATTCTTATCCTTTTCTTCACACATGGCCGAAAGCAATGGCACGGATGCTGCATTTTTCAACACATGCTGTCTGACTTCCTTTCCACGCAAGTCCGCGGCACTTCCTGCTTTGGTGATTTGCGAGGTGCGTTGAGTATCTGCTGGTGCCCTAGTAGATTTCGAAGTTGCACTGTCCGTGATTGGGGTCGAATCAACTTTGTCGGAGGTTGCAGACGCGCTGGGCTCGGCAGTGATATCTGCATCATCATCATCATTTTGCTCTCCTTCTTTACCCTTCTTTTTCTTCTTCTTCGTTTTCCCAGACCTCATCCTTATCTTGGTTTTGACCAACTTCGGCTTCTCCTCTTGCGCACCAGGCACCGTTGCACCCTTGACCAGCATATCAGCAAACTCCTGGTCAGTAGGCTGTTTGTTTTGCTCAGCGACCGGCTTCTCATCTGGCCGTAATTCCTTCTCCAACAACGCTTTACCATTTTCACCCAAAGACATTTTGGCTAACAAATCCTCGACCGTCTTCTCGTTTTGCTTTAAATCACTCTTTGCACCATTGCAAGACAGTTCCGACTTCTGTGGTATCTCTGCTGGGTCTTTTTCAAGAATTTCCTCGCTATTCACTAGGTATGCATCGAAAAAGTCATCCATGCGCTTCAATGCCAGCTCATGCCTGGTTTGCTTACGAAAACCCAGACAGTCTTCAATGACGCAAATCTTGATCCCATGTCGAGCTGCATCAATGACAGTTGCCAATACAGAGACATTTGTGATACACCCGCATATGAAGAGTTCTGTAACAAGCCTTGCGCGCAGTGTAATCAGCAGATTCGTACCTTGAAAAGCAGAGTAGTTAGTGGTCCGAATTACTGCATCTGCCGGCAGCTCCATCTGTTGAGTAACGAAATCGATAAACTCAGCACCGGGTGTCTTGGGCACACATGCTGGCGTCCGCTTCTCGCTCTTCAATAAGAATAGCTCGTCATCCTCTTCGACTGAAGCCTTTGCGATCTCTTTTGGCAGCGTCTTTCTCCGCGCTGATACGCGCTTGAGCAAGTCGAGGGCGCGTTGCTTGTGTTTTGATGACTTTGACTGCGCAGGTAACGAGGCCGCCTCTTTTGCCAAGTCGTCATCGCCAGCCTCCGGGCCGCTCTCATCACCGTCGATCAATCCACCCACAACAAGCGCGTCTCCCTCGCCCGTATCTGCTCCAGTGGCGATACGGTCTGCCTCGTAGAGCGTCTGGACCCATATAACATTGCCGCTAAGTTCGCGAAACTTGGGTACCAGAGTTTGGATGCGGTCGAGAAAACCGGTCGAGGTGTTTACCGGAAGGCGTCCGTCCGGCAAAACAAAGTCGTTTTGCAGGCCAATGGCAAGAAGCGCCTGATGGGTCTGGAACTTGGGCTGGTTCTGGGACACCAGGTTCATGAGATCGGTCATCTTGGAGGCCATGGTGGCAGCAAGACGAAGTGTTAGAGCTGAGTCAAGCGCTAGGCAGCTACAATTCAGCTACGATTTTAGCGCCACGGCTTTGGTAAGTATGAGGTCTCAGATGCGATCAGAGGTCGATGAGTATTAGGAACAATGGGTACCAAAAGGGCGTGCTAGATGGCATGGCATGATATGGGATGGAAATGCAAAGGTGGACTACGTAGGATCCGCAAAGAAAAAGTCTAGAAGGCGGAAGCGGTCCAAATTTGGGCAAATTCGTAATCGGAGGGCTGCAGGGATAGTTACATTAGAGAGGTGCGCTACAGGAGCGATGGGCCGGGCAGGGCGTTGGGGGCGACTCGAAACGGTGAGGCGTGTTGGTGTTTTCCGCATCCAAAGGCCGCTAGGTGGCTGCTCACTCCCCCCACCGTTAGTGCGGGGCAACTGGCTAATTGCCCAACCGGGCTGATCTACATACGCTGTTGGTGGGTATTCCCGCGGGCATGTCAGGGCCGCGATTCTAGTCGTCTCTCACGGTCAAGCCTAGATGCCTTTTCTCCGCGCGAGCATACCTTTGCTGACGGCAATCCCCCAGGCTATACTGAGCATGATATAGCGTGAAATGAGCCTCACGGCGGCTTGCGCTTCACCGCCAAACCTTACGACTCATGGAAGTAAGTCTCACTTGCTGGCAAAAAAAGCCGTAATCTTCTGCGAACCGTCAGATTTGGATGTCTTGGCGGCGCTCCCGTTGCTCGTGGCACTCCTGGTGCCGCGCTTCTTTGCAGGCGTGGACGCCGGCTTGATAGGACTCTTTATCAGAGACGCCGATGATTCGGACTTGACGCGTTTACTCGACGGTTCTTGCTCTGCTGTACTACCGCTGTCATCTTCGCTGTTGTGCTCTCGCTTGATGCCTTGCGACTCATGACCCGGCTCGGAGTGTGCTGTCGCTGGTACAGGTAACGGGGCGTTATCTTCGGTACCTTCCACGCGGTCCGTTGTCTCACGTTTCTCATTCACGTCATGATCGACCTTGGCGGCTGCTCGCTGGTTGCCAAAGAAGTTTGCAATGTTGTTCTTGTTCTCGGCGCTGTTGATTGGCATGAGGAACGAGGGCGAGTTGTTACCAACCTTGCCAACGTCTTTGCTGACTGGGTAACACTCAAGATCGCCTCGGAATGGCTGCAGGAGGGATTGTAAATCTTTGCTCCATTCGGTGCGCGTTGGGTCGAGCCAAATACGGATTGCGTCGGATCCGTTCTCGAGGATGACGGGCATGCGGTCGTGTAGGAAGCGGAGCTGCTTGTTGGACTCGGTAGTTATAATTGTGTAGGTGAAAAGCTTCTCACTAGAACCTTCAAACTGGACACAGTCCCATAAGCCGGCGAAGCACATGAGCTGTCCATCCTTGCGTTTTGTAAAGTGTGGTATCTTGTCCTTGCTCCCGCTCTTCTTGAGCCATTCGTAGAAGCCCTGTGCCACCACGATGCATCGCTTCTTCTTTTTCATGGTTGCCCATATACCACGGTCCTCGACGAGGGAGTCATCGCGGCAGTTGATTGTCTTCATCTTGGAGCCGTAGTCGGGGTTGCGCTTGGTCCAGAAGGGCACGAGGCCCCATTGCATGGACTGCAACTTGTACTGGTGGTCGTTCTCGCCCGATGGGGAAGTTTCGTGACCATGAACAGCTTCGGAGCCCTCCGCTCGATAGACCAGGCCGTGGTAGCCCGGGGCAAAGTTGTAGCTCTGTCGTGTAGTGCCGTCGTCATCGTCGGGGGCTTCTGCGACGGGCATATGCGAGTGCTCGAGCTGTCGGCGGACCTCGGATGGCCGCTGGGGGTTTGTCAGCTGTCGTGTAGCGTCGCATAGAGTGACGTGAACTTACCAAGGCCAGCACATAACGGCCGCACATGTTGCAGTGTCTCAAGGCATGGCTGGTGGTGGAGTGCAGACGTCATGCGGCGACCCTCAGCCCTACGCGGAACTGCACGCGGCGGGCACTAAAAGTTCATTCCGTCATGCACTCGCTCCACCACATTTGCTCGCTATTCTCGACACCCCGTTCACCCCGGCCAGCACACCATGTTGAGCAGGACAATTGCACGCGCCGCTCCTCGAGTGAGCGCGTATGCTCGGTGCGAAGCCCAGGCGCCTCTTGAGCGATGCACCAGGCGGCCTGCAACAGCATGGCGACCAGTCCAGCAGCCACTGGGCCGGCGTCATGCATCGATGCGGGTGCAGTTCAGCGAGCAGTACCGCAAGAGCCCGGTCCTGTTCCCCTTTGCCATTGGAGTGTATGCCGGACGATCCAGCTACCAGGCCCTGCGCTAACCCACCCCGCCAGCATCGCCCTCGTCTCAGGCATCTGCGTCTTCTACATCCCCTGGTACTACAAGAACGTCATCATCAAGCCCTACCACAACTTCCCTGAGCCCGTCGCAAAGAAGCTCCGCAAAGCCCTCTTCTACAGCCGCGGCAAATGGCTTGACATCCGCGAAGCCAACAAGCACTTCAGGCAGGCCCTCGCCCTCGCCGACGAGCTAGGCATGGATCCTTTCAGCGATGAGATTATGGGCGTCAAGTACACCATTGCCCAGTTGTTTGAGGATGCAGGGTATTTTAGCTTGGCTATTGATGTACTCGAAATTATGCGCAATGACTGCCAGCGGTGGGTCGATGAGTTTTCGGACAAGCACTGGACGACGGGAAACCGCAGTCGGGTTAAGAAGAACATGGTGCAGATCAATCTAAAGCTGGGCCAGCTTTACGACGTTCGATACGTCAATGAACCCGAGAATGGCGAAAAGAGGCTTGTCGAGGCTGTCGAGAGCGCGCTCAAGGAACAGCAACGGCGGGAGAAGGAGGGCGTCAAGAATGGAGAGGGACCATGGCTTACGAATGAAGAGATGGGTGGTACATTAGAAGGTATGCGTTACGATCTATTCACATGTTCGATGTACTGACGTGACGTAGCTCTCGGTACACACTACGAGCAGTTTGACTCGCACTACCTAGCCACGCCACTGTTCGTCAAGGCACTACAGCTATGTCCGCCAAACTCATGCCACAGCGTAGTCCTGAGTATGTTCCTATTCCCTTTATTATCACCAGCACAAACTAACCCAACCAGTGAACAACATCTCCACCTGCCTCGTCCAGCAAACCCCACCCTCCTCATCCGACGCAATCACCATGTCCCCCCTCCCCTCCGACTTCCCCGTCTCAAACACCGCCCCGCGCGCCCTCCTCATCGAGCAAGCCCGTCAATGGGCCACACGCGCCCTAGAACAAGCTAGGCAAATAAAATCCCCAGACCGCACAGAAGAATGCGACATGGGCTGCGCAGTCGCCACCCATAATCTAGGCGAATTCTTCGAGATGGAAGGCAAAACTGCCGAAGCACGCAGACAATACGAAGAAGCGGCTGCTCTAGCGAAGAAAATGGGGTTTGCAGAGGGCGTGGCGAATGCACGGGCGGGATTGAAGCGCGTGAAGGAGTTGGAGAAGAAGGCATAGAAATTCGTACCAAGACATGAATGTATATGTGTATGTGTACTTGTGCGTGGAAGAGAAGAAGAAATCAAGCATCGCATTACAAATGATAGCATAGTTCGATCCCCCCCGCTTTAGAAAAGAAAGAATCAAAGGCTAAACTACACAGTGTATATCTCTCCCATCCATCCATCCATCTATCCATACTCATGAGTTCCAAAACAAAAGGAGAACAACGCGCTGTGACAAATCTTTCTTGTATCTTCGCAATGAAGAAAAAAAAGAAAAAAAAGAGATGCTCGATGGCGAAAACGGCTAGCTACATTCATATCGGCCCCCATCTCCCTTTCCCCCCTCTCTCTCTCTCAGAAAAAAAGAAAGGAGAAAGTATGCAAGTCAAACAAAAAGCAATGTATATGTAATATGTACACCCCCACCCACCCACCCACTCCCTTTCCCTTCCCAACTCTCCCCTCCCCTAGTTCCTAGACGAGAGAGACAGAGAGAGAAAGGGGGAGGGTGACACTCACGACCCCGTAATCGTCGCACTACTAACGGTTCTCTTCCACCCAGCCCATCCCCACCCTCCACCTCCTGCATTCCCGCCAACAGGCTCCTTAGGCACAGGACTCGGCGTCACAACCGGTGTATTTGTTGGCGTACTACTTGCGCTTCCGCTTCCACCGGTGCTCACCATGCGCTTCAGATTCTCAAACCGCACCTTGAATTCCTCGAGTTCCTGCTTCGCCACCGCCTCCGCAGTCTTCGCGTTGACGAGTTCAAGCAGGAGCGCCTCGTTGTTTGCGTCTGGGACGGTGCCGTCGGCGCCTGCGAGGAAGGATTGCGTGGCTAGCGATGAAGAGCGCTTGGTGAACATGGGGGTGGTGTGCGAAGATGAGAATTGACGTTCGGATTTCTGAGATGGAGTACGGCCGAGACGGAGTTCGCGCAGGCCGCCGGAGACGCTGTCGGAGGTTGTGGAGCGGGAGAGTGAGGGTGGGGTATCGGGGGTCGTGTCTGTTCCGCCCCAGGACGAGGTGACGGCAGATTGCTTGCGCGCGTGCTGTCGTAGCTCTTGGATCGTTTTTTCTTGACGTTGGTTCTGGTTGTAGCTGTCTTGCAGGCGCTGCCGTGTGTCTCGGAGGGCGTCCCGTGCGATTTGGAGTTCGGCGTCACGGTCGCTCAGGTCACGGGCGAAGCTGTTGGCGCGCAGTGTTTCGTTGGCAAGTTGTTCTTTTGTGCGGGTTAGGTTCTCTTTGAGGATCTCTTTGGTTTCGAAAATGGAGGAGGCGCGGTGGTGGCCTTGGGATTCGGGGAATCGCGATTCCAGCGTCGACACTATTTCGGAGGCCTCTGCGCTCAGTTCATTCGAAGCTGCGCCCTCCTCGAGCGCCGCAGCGACAGACGCAGCGGTAATTGTTGTCCGCCTCCGCGACGCCCGTGTGGACGGTACGGCGAGTGTGGATGTCTTCTTCCGGACCTTGTCTACTACTGTCCGCACGATGCGATGGTCCTCCTTGCGATCCTCGCGCTGTTTTTGCAGTGCAGCTTCAAGCTCGCTATTCTGTCTTTGCAGCTGGCTCACAGACATGAGCAGCTGCTCAATCTGGTAGTGCAGGTCCCTATCCCTGGATGAGGCGCCCATTGCCATGGAGCCATGGCCAGACTTCATCGACAGCGCATCTCCGTTGGACGCACGCGAAATGTCCGTCAAGGCTGTGCTTTGCGTGTTTGCTGAGGCGTCTGAGTCGGCCATTGAGTTGAGTGTTGAAGCCAAGCTCTGCTTAGAGGCTGAGCGCCTTAGGAAGCTTACAGGCCGTGATGGCGCCGAGAGTCCCGGGCTGAGTGAAACAGACTTGGTCGAAGAGTTGGACGGGCCCCACAAACGGCCCAGGAACGACGAGGCCGACTTCTGGACCTGCTGCTTGGACGTCTCCCTATCCTGGGCTTCCTTGTACTGTTGCTCCAACCCCTGTAACCTTTCCCGCGTCACATCATTTGTGAAACCGACGAAATCGGCAACCAACTCGTCGGCAGACCCCGCGTTCCTGCCATATGGATCCCAAAGTTGGCGGCCAAGCAGCAACTGCATGACATCTTCGAATTCACTTAGTGACAAGAGCTTTTGCTCGTTGCGCTTCATCAGAGCAAGTGCCACACGCATGATTGTCTCAGAAGCGCCCTCGGCGAACAGCACATCGTAGATGCGGAAGAGCATGGGCAGCGGACATGTGACAGCGAAAAATGAAAGGAACCATTGTGAGAGATATGCAGACTCGACGCCCTGGTCATCGAGGTGCTGCGCCAGCGCGGGCATATGATGGTGGAGCAGTTGCTGGAACTGGAAGATGCGAAGATGCAGACCAGAGAGGTCAGGGAGGAAACAAGAACGAAGGTCGTAGTCTTCCATTAGTCTGCAAGGGTTAGCAGGGGTGCGGAGTCATCAACCCAGAGCAACATACCTGACGAGTACACAGAAAGCCTCCTTGTCACCCATTTGCATTAGCAGTGGACCAACGAGGAAACCGAGACCCTGGCAGTAACCAATCTTGTGGTCGTACAGACTAAAGCACTTGAGCACACGGCCAAGCATCTTTTGGCCCTCACCGTCAGCGTCCTTGAACATGTCGACACCAGGGAAGCTCCTTCCAAGATCCTTGTTGATGATGTTCTCGTACGGGCTGGACTCGCCACACAACGTCTCATACTGATCCTCAATCAGCTTCTCCCGTGAGCCGGCTGCACTCTGCCATACAACGCCACGCAGCGGCGCAGGGATACCTCCTCGAATCTTGTTCAAGCAGAGCGTGGGCAGACGCTGGACCGTCTGTGGATAATCACGAACGAGGGCTGCCCAAAACTCCAACTCGGTCATGGGTGGTGGCGAGGGCAGCTGGGAGAAGCGGACCTGTGCAGTGTCATGGGCGACGAGGCGCTTGAGTTGGTTGATGGAGGGGGGCCGCGACTGGCTGCGGGCGCGAGAGACCTTCATGTTTGCTTTGGAGTCTGACATGATGGCGTCGTTTTCCTGCTCAAGTCGAGCGAGCAGCAAGGCCATGGCCTAGAAGAAGAAGAAGAGAGTCAGCAGACGACGGGGATTAGATATCGTGAGTGGGCGCGCACCTCTTCCTCGCCCTCTGGCTCCTGTTCCTCCTTTTTCTCGAGCTCGGCCCAATCAACTTCCTCGCTCTTGCCTGAACCATTGCTTGTTCGCCTCTCCCTAGTATCTATCTTGGGCGACTCGGGCGCGTCCGTGTCCCGGACAGAGATGGTCGGGCTTGTTGGGGTAGTGGTTGCATCGGCGCTCGTCTGGCTTTGGCGACGTCCAAACGCCTGGCGGATCTCGATTGAGTCTGCACGCGACGACGATGTCCTGCGGTCGCCGACGACAATGTCTGGCTGGGCGGGAGAGGTGGGCGAGGTGCAGGCAGACTGCTCGTCTTCTGGTGATGTGCCGTCCGTCTCTGAGAGCGGGACCGTGACCATGGAGTCTGTTGGCAGTGGTGCGCTGTCGACGTGGGTCCTGGGAGAGCGCTGCACGCTTTGGTCCACGGGCTCTACTACCGTGGGCTCTGCCGTGGGCGGCATGGGGGTGGCTACGTCGGTCATGGTGCGGTCAGACGGGCAGCATCGAGGGACGCAGGACAGTGGGAATTTGAGTGAAGAGAGGACGGTCTTGTGTGCAATGACGCAGCACAGCGGTGCAGCCCCTCGGTCAAGGGCCAAATGGCAAGATTGGCAGCTCGGTCAGCGGGGCGCGAAGAACAAACGGCGCTGGTGTAGAGCGTGTTTCAAGCGTGTGGAATAGAGGGTTGCAGCCGGGATGGTGTCGTGACGGCAGGTGGAGTGGGATGCTCTGCGCGCAAGACACGAAACACACGTCGTCAATGGAGTCTGCTTCGAGGCACACTGAGCAAAAGGAGCGACGTGCAAAAGAAGAGCAGACGGCCATGGTGGTGCTATGTCGAAAGGAGCATCAGGAGGCCGAGGGCTGGCCCACCTGCGTTAGCGCCTTATCGCGGAGCGGTCAAGCCAGGGTCAAGCGTCCCCACCATTGGCTTCTGGCCTGCCGCCCTAATCACCCAGCGGCCACCCAGCTGCTACACCGACCACCGTCCAGGTGTATGCATCCCGACTTTTCATGCACCCTCTTACTCGCCGCGCCCTCGCTGATGTCACCACGCCTACCCGCCAGGAACCCAGGTTGCTGCTGTTGCGCCTTGTGCCTCCACCGCGTCTGCATCTCGCTCTGCATCTCGCTCTCGCGCTGCCCACGCCCGACTCCACGCGACCTGCATCCAAATACACGCGACACCACGTGCCTCACCCCCAGCCCTCGGCCAATCACCGTCGCCCGCCGCCAAACCACTGTTCGCATCCTGCACGCCTGCCTGCTTAGCTGTACATGTACTGTCTACTGTCTACACCACCACCACCAACCAACAACCGCCAATCACCTACACTCGACGCATGCGCAATTCCTGCCCCCGCCCGCCCGCTAGTCCTCTTCGCCTGCTAGCTTCATGTAAGCTGGTCCCGCTCGTGCGGGGGTATTCGGCACGGCAGAATCCAAGTAGCACCTCAACATGGCCCACCGAGTATAGACGACTACACTTGACCGCCTCTTCGCCATGCCGCTGACTCCTGTCCTTTGTACTCTGCTCTTTACACTCGTTCGCTTACCACAAGCCTTGCCGCTATCACTATCCTAGTCCCAGTTCCCCCGCCACTCGTCTCCACGCGGGGAGGCGGTTCATTCAGATTTTTTTTCATGCTAACACCTTTTTGTCCCGGCGCGCGTTGCACTCACGTCAGGTACATATGACACGTCTTGCCAGCGCGGCGTCACAGATGGCACCTCCTGGTTCGCAACAAGCAAAAGCCTTTAAGCTTCGTTGTCTAGAACCTGCCTTGTCAACGCTGTCATGCACCTCAGACCAAGGCACCCATGGTTAACATATTGACGTTGGATATCTAACGGCGAATTTCCGTGATAATACGGGCACATCCCTGTTACATTTCCCTGCTCGGTATCCACACGCGCTGCTGCTGGAGTAGGCGACAAAGAGAGGTCGAGTGTTTAGCCGGCTAGCGGCTGACGCCATTTAAAATGTACGCTGCTCGCCTTTGGTAGGAAGATTAGCGAGATTTGACGAGGCTGTGTTAGAGCAGTCTTGTCCATGGTATGAACGCGGCGAAACTTTACATCGCTCGTGGTAAGAACGCATTGACTGGACGCTTATGGATTTACACTCGTGTCGATTCCAAAGCCATGGTTTGTGCTCGCAATACGTCAGAATTACTATATTTGGCGATTTAGCGGGACTTTAACGCGCAGTAGAGCTCGATTGCGTACCCCGATCTTGGGTCAAGGCTGTCGAAGTAGGTTAGTTAAAGTGTATTAGCGGGCTATACAAACTCTCACAAGTAGGCTCTATTTGGACATCTAGCTAATCTTTTATTCGATACTGGTCACTCTACTCGCAGCACTCATCCGCTATCTCGAACTATCGCTGTTCTCACCAACCTCGGTGCAACACTTCATATCCCGGGAGAACCACAGGAGTGCCAGTGTCTTGGCCCCATATTGCAGAGCCAACCATTAGACCCTATGTACTCCAGTCCTATGACGTGGCAGTCGTACAATTCGGAAACCGACCGGCTACTAAAGTCGAAAGCATGATATCGTTAGTTACCCATCAGATTTAATAAACTCTAAGCCTTATAGTGGAGTAGTTGCATAGTTTAAAAGCTAGCTGGCTACTAAAATTGAGAAGATGAGGTCGTCAGTCATTTACGCAAAATGTACAAGAGGGCCTTGATTACAGGATCTGTTCGCATCTAGTCACCGGCAAAGCGATTTCACCCTAGTTCTGTAAAGTCGAAATTATTCCTGGGCTCCACGCTGCTGTGCTAGCATTGGCCGCACACGTATCCAATGCCGCCTAGCCAGGCACCGTCTCGTATCCTGTCAAACTGCTGGTTCGTCATTCGAGCAATATACCTCGAACCGCTGCTGGAGGTGCTGATACAGCCGGGTCGTTGACCGCTCACCGGCTGGTTTATCATTTCGGTGCAAATACCGCTAGAACCGATACGTCAATCGACTGATGGCCTGGCATACTGTCTATGCTCATCAACACGATAGATGTAGTAAACGTCGTGACTTTGTGACCCCATCTACATGCATTCGTGTCCATTGTGATATCCTAAAATTTACAACACTTTATTCTCATCAAGAACTAAAACCAGACCATTTACGAGGTTATTCATGAACGATAAAATCTAAAGTAGGTATCTATGAGTTTTACCGAAAAGAGGCATTCCAAAGTTCCCGCCGAACCGGAGACTTTTCTATTTGAACACAGTGAACTGCTAGGATATACACATTGATCCTTCATCCTAGACCATGTAGACACCTTCCCATAACGCTCAACCATCAGATTGCCAGCACCATTCCTATTTTCAATTGCTTGATATGAAGCCGAGACTTGGCCTGCCACCAAGGAAAAAACCAGATCTTTTAGTGCCCATATTTCGCCTTCGGAGAGCGATTCCGTCAAATGTACGAAATCGATGTGGAGCCAAGGGACTTCAACGCTGCTCGGCACACATGACGAGCGTAGGTGAGGGCTAGCCTGGATAGAAATCTGCTAATGCTAATGCCAAAACGGGGTGACTGTTCAGGCGGTGTTGAGAGCAGCTCCGTCAAGACGCGCATTCCAGCTGGAAATTACGTTGCATAAAAGATTAGGCCGAGCAAAGCATGGTTTGTCAGCTGTCGAATAATCAAAAGGTGCGCCTTGGCTTTAGGCTGTGTGGGCAACTGGTTGAAAACGGAATTTCGATATACTAGGAAATGGGGGGGGGGGGATTGAAGGATCCAACTTCTAGAGCGAAGAGTAGTGCCTTTTGATAACAACTGCTACGCGCGAAACTGAAATATGAGCACAAGATACGCCAAACTTAAAGATCGGGTAATTGACAGTAATTAGACCTAATTAGACGATACCATGTTACTTTATCCTAGGATTTTTTTCAATTGTGATTCTCCGCTCAATAAAAAGTATGTTAAATATCATCTTCATTGCTCTATTCTAGCACCCACATCCCACTATGAACCTCTCGCTAAGAATACTAAGGCTCCTACTCTCTTGTCTTTCCACTCTGCTTCAAACGCCAAAACTATATTTCCTCATACATGACGGAGATACTGAGGACACTATCCTGAACTGGTGCTTCAATACATCCATTTGATGAGGTCGGAAAGCCGAATACTTAAAATAAAGTGTCTTTTCGAAACACAATGTCCCCTCAAGTATCAAAGTGTTTTTGAAAAGACGATCCCTTCTTGATCTTAGACATTCTTCTCACAAACCCACTCCTCACTGTTATCTTGTAACAACGGTTTCGGTGATATCCCGTGACGAGCGACTTTATCAAACGCATACATTCAATCCCTTAATAACGCATTTGGCCATTTCGTACACAGTCAATCGCATGTAGGACGTGAGGTATCCATTACCCGTGTATAAGCATAAGGGAGCAATCAACCACTCTCTTCCTAACCATCAATGTAGAGATGCTACTACATCTATTCATCCAGCCTCTCACACTATCATGTCTATCCTACCACATACCTACCTATCCAAAACATCTCCAAGTATCTCGTTGCACGCTGCAATTAATCAACCCACCGTGTTAACTCATTCATACCCTCACCTCGCTTCAATCATGCTATATGCATCGCTCACACGTAATCATCTACGTAGCATACTCATCAGCATCACTTGTTGCACACGAAATACACCATCCCCCTCAACCTTCCAGCACATCATGCTAGGCATCTTCTCGAAAAAAAAACTACTTCAAACAACACCTCCACGGCCTCGTATCGGATGCAGCACCCCCAGTCCTCACCACACCCATCACATCCCCAAGCCAACCCCGCTCAATCCGATAAAATAAAACCCCCCCGAGGAACCAAAAGACTCTGGCATCATCATAAAACTGTACCGAGAGACATCCAGCGCAGGGCAAAAGCACACCCTTATATACCCATCTCCCCCATCTCCCCCTTCCGATACCGCACCCCCCCCCCCTTCTCCCATGCATCCCAATAAAACCCAACATATTCCCCCTTATTACGCAACTCGATCCACCTCTTCTCTCCACGGGGTAAAAAAGAAAAAAAAACTTTTATTCACTCCATATGACAATCTCCCCCCCTACCCGAAAATTCCCGGTCGCACGCGCACGCGGAACGCAGAACGCGCATGGTTGAGGGTTTTGACAAGTACGTTGTTGTTTTTTACGTACAAGGCGCTCGTATTCGGTAAGAGCGGCGGTACATGTCAAGAAGAATTTGTGGGGTAGGTCGGGGGGACGTGTGGGGATGGATGTATTGTTCTTGTGGAGGGAGACGGGGGGGTTGGTGGTACTGGGAAGGGAAGGTTTCGCGGGGAGAGGGGGGGGGGGCGGTTGTCGGGGTGTTTTTTTCTCTTTTTCGGTGGGGTGCGGGAAGGATGCGTGGAAGGGTTCTAGAAGGGTTAATGGTGCGGGGAGGAGAGGAAGAATTAATGTGAGAGAGAGATTGCATTGTAACGATATTTTTTTGGCGGTTTGTTGTGCTGAAAACTCGTAGGCTAGGTGAAGGAGAAGGGGGATGCATACGGGGGTATCTACGAATGTCAAATAGGCAAAAAAAAAAAATCAACCATTGGAATATAATCTGATAACCGCTCAATCGTCAAAATCCCAATACGCCTTGTCGAGTATATCCTGCCACCCTTGCACAGACTCCAACCTTGGATCCTCATCGTCCTTGAAATCAACTGGCAAATCCGCACTCGTGCCCACGCACGGATACGTACAGCGACATGGAAACACCATTTCACCTCTCTGAATCTGAAGCAAAATGGCCTCTCTCATTTCCTGCCTCAAACTCGCCACCATGGCCGCATCCGCATCCCCATCCCCCACAGCATTAAGCATGGGCTGCCAAAAATCCACAGTGGACGTCTTGACACACCCACTCAAGCTAATCCTCACCCCTTTCGCCGTACGCAGATGCCGCAGCATATCCCACGCCAGTACAATCCAATATTCGATCCACTTCTTCTGACACGAATGCGGGCTGCGTCGCGGGCTTGCCATGGCCCACGGACACCGCGCGAGCCGGTGCTTGGGACTGATGAAGCGCAGATCAAGTGTCTGGAGCCCATGTAGCAGTGCCAGTTCCGCAAACTTCATTCCATGCGGAGCACAGGTACGAATCACATGTCTGCTGTTTGCATAGATGCCGATGCAGGCGAAATACTCCCTCGCGTCCATTTCGAGCTGGATGTGGCGTAGAAAGCCTGTTCGGAGGGCAAGCTCCGCTGGGAGACTGAGGGCGTGCCGCCATATCTTGGGCATAAAGTGCTTGGGGCCCCTGCCCAGGCCTGAGCGGAGTGTAGTGAACCGCTTGATCGTCTCGCGACATGCTACCGCGCTGAATTCCATGCAAACCTTTTTGTTGACATAGAAGATGTTCGAGTTGGGGCTGGGGATTTCTGGGTCGCGGTTACGTTCTGCCACGCTGGTGGGCCCGAAAGATTGCCCAACACCAAAGATGAAGCGGCCTGTGCCCTCTGTCACAATATCGGGCACAACGACAGGCTCGATGACGTGACGGTAGATTTCCTCGCGCAGCTCGAGAGGCAGTTGCAGGAACTTGAAATGTTTACCCGTATTTGTCCACCATATTCTTTGCTCGTCGTACTGTGTCGCTGAAAACTTCTTGTGCCATGTCTCTTGGAGATCGGTGCAGTAGGTGTCGCGTATCCACGATGCCGCATCACGCATGTTGCTTGCCCCCGTCCCAATTGCCATAGTCTCGATCCTCACATCTTCCTCGTCCAGAATGCTGATGGCGACTGTGCGACGCGGATAGTAAATCGACTCAGCGAAGGTGTACCAGCCGGCATTTTCAAAGTCATCATCTTTTTTCTTGATGGCTGCAATGTCGTAGGGGCTAGCCAGTTCGACTTCAAGAAGGCTTTTTGCATTCTTGTAGCAGTGACTATATTTCCCCAGGAAAGAAAAGTTGCGCTTGCGTTCTTCCTTGGCAAAGGTGTGGAGAATGGCGATGACGCGGTCTGAAAGTGGTTGTGGCTTGCAGGGTGCTTCGGCCTTGCTTTTGCTACTAGTCCTTCCGGACATAGCGCCGGTAGTTGGGATAGGTGCTTGATGCATCTTCAAGAGACTCGTGATGTCCGATCGGTGATAGGTTTTCGTCGCGCCAGAGTAGAGAAGTGGTTGATTTCGGAGATGAGAATCATCTTTGCTCCTTTTCATATTGCTTGAAAATACCGATATTCACGTTGTGAGTTGTTAACCAAAGTCCGCGATGCTGGGCAGAAACCGCTACGCTATCGATGTGTAGACTAGTGAGGGCTGTACCAAAGGAAAGCAAGCGAAACCAATAATTCATGGTTGGAAGACCCCACTTCTCCCAGTCTGAGTTTCTAGTTCGTTGAGCACATGTTTTCACTGGAAACCCAATCACAGAATGGTGTTGGAAATTTGAATGGATGATTGATTGACGATAAAATGATGTCGCTATGCTAAAGACTCATAAGTCATAACAGATAAAACTGCCCCTCAAAGGGCTTTTGGTATATATACATGATTGCTCTTTGTGCGTTTATGCGTAGGCTGATGCCTTGCAGGTGAATGCGCCCCTGACATCACCAGAGTTGTACTGGGTGATGATGTCCTCGACAGAGGCATACGTTCCAGCGCCCAAGACGACCATTCCAATAACGAGAACGATGGCGTTCAAGATGCTGAGAGAAATGTTCTTGGCTGAAGCGTTCCACTTGCCCTCCTTGACAAGCTGGAACCAGAAGAGGGCGGGCCAGTAAAAGGTAAAACCAGAAATGAAGAGCGAGGAGATGAGACCAAGCAGGGCATTGAAGAATGGAATGGCCTCGGCAATGATCCATCCAATAACAGTGACGAGAGAGATGAGGCCAACCCAGACAGTCCAGCCACGTACGTCCTTGACGAAGCGAATGGGAGAGTCGGGGAAGAATCGGTCCATCATGTAGCGGCAGACGACGGTGCCGTTGATGGAGCCAGAGATGAAGATGACGGGGAGGGCAATACCAAAGGCAATGCGCGAGACGGTGGAACCGGCAGAGAGGAGGGCGGGCGACTTGACGCTCTGTCCAATGAAGGCGTAGCAGAGGGCACCAGTGAGGGTGTAGATGAAGATTTCAATCAGACCGAGGGCCCAGATGGACTTGACGTAGTCCTTGGGGGTGTGCATCTCCGACATGAAGGAGAACTGGCAGACGGCAAACGAGTAGGCGAAGATGATGTTGGTGGTAGCAAGGAAGGCCTGGTAGAATGTGGTTCCTGGCTGTGGCCACGCAGACCAGTCGACAGCGGAAAGGCCACCGGGCGCGTTGTGAGCCTGGACACCAGTTGCAATGATGGTGATGAGAATGGCGGCAATGATGCTGACAAAGTCAATGTAACCCAAGAATGCAAAGTCGTGGAAGGTAGGGGGCAGCGCAAGGACCAAGAGGATGACGAGCGAAACAACACTCCAGACCAGGGCGCAGGTAGCGTAGTCGCCAATAATGTTGATAAAGGCAATGGTTCCAGTAAGTGCGTGAGATCCAACCAGCAGAATGAGGAAAAGGGCAAACATGACACCAGTCAGTTCCTTTCCAAAGCGGCCCCAGATGAGTGCAACAGCGTCTGAGTAGTGGTTGACATGGGGGTATCGCATCTTGACCTGGCCGACGACGTAGGACGTGTAGATGGCAACAAGACCAAGACCAACACACAAGATGGTACCGGGGACCATGCCGAGAGTAGCAAAGGCGCTAGGGATACTGAGGGAGCCGAGGGCAATAGCCTCGACAATCAGACAGACGGTGAGCTGCTTCCAGCCAAGGCGGTGGAATTTCTCAGATCCTTCCTGGACAGTGGCCGTCTTGTCGACGGGCATCATTAGCTCCGGGTCGCTCTTCTTGCCCTCGGAAGAGAGGTCATCAAGGCGGTAGTTTGTTGGAGGAGTAGCGTAGTGAGGAGGAGGTATGCTGGTGGGCACATCGCCTGCACCGTGGGCGTGTTGTACCTCCTGCATCTTGGCCAAGGATGAATGTGTGTCCGAAAGAATGGGGAGAGAGTGAGGATGTGGACAAAAAGGGAAGGGCAACCTTGGTTTTTGGCCGCGGGAGTCTGCTGACAAGCTAGTCTACCGTCTGTTCCCAAAGGAGCAGTTGCAGTGCAGATGACCAAACGGGTAGCGGGCAGCGGGCAGCGTCGAGTTGCGAAGGGTGCTGCTCGGTGACGTAGTGTAGTAGTAGTAGTAGTAGTCTGTGACGAGGAGACTACTTGTAGCAGTGTGCAGCAGGCGCAATAAATAGGACGCGGCGTAACAGTGAGGCGGAAGAAAGGACCATCTTTATATCGGAGTTGCTTATCTCTCCGCGCGCTGTGAATGTGTAATAGAATGTTCCAAATGGTGGCTCCCCCGCGCGCTCCCAAGATGGCGGTCGACCGAAGTTGACCGAGAGCAAGCGATGGACGAGGTTAGCGGTCGTCGGCTTAAGGCAGCGTATGGAACCAGTCCATGGTACGTGCGATGAGCAGGGGAGGTTCTAGTGGCGTTGGGGACGACGAGGTTCCACATGGCGCGTCGCAGTTGACGTAAAATTTTCATCTTTTTACGTGTGTGGGTGGAAATGCTGGGACGTGCTTGGGACCAAACGGCGGCCGTGAACTGGGTTTATTGGGCCAGTGCCCCAGAGGGCATGCGACGAGGGAAGCAAGAGACCTGTGCATGTGGCCTTCCCCCGCGTTGTGCGGGAGTAAGCTGGCGGAGGCATTGGATTGCGCGATGCGAGTGTAGGGTATGACGTGACTGCGCAGTGATGTTTTGCGGTAGGGCTGTGGTGGCTGATTTTGGGGGCGCGGACAAGCTCTCTTACCGCAACCCACCCGAGCCTCGGCGGGGCTTGTCCGCGCCCTCCGAGCAGGTACCCGGCCTAGCGAGAGCCTCTTCCGATCCTGGTCGTTGCCGCGCCGCCGCCCAGCAAAACCTCTGCCCTCACCCTGCTCTACTCTACACTAGCTGTACCACCCACACCTGCACCCTCACCTGTGCCTATCTGCTAATAACACTGACCCTAGTGCTAGCAAAAACGAGGGTCTTGTGGAGTGCATTGCCGAGAGAGGCGCCTGCCAATCACCCTGTGCACCGCCTGTCTGTGTCCATTGCCTGCGCAAAAAAAATAATCCCTATCTTTACCCCAGCCTTTTCGCTCCTTTCAAGGGCCTGGCACTTGCTTTCATGCATACACATACATGCTTTCATGCATACATGCATTCTATCGACAGGCGCGTGCCGTAGCGCTGCTATACTACATTGTAACTCCAGATCGCATGCAACAGAACTTTCCCACCTCCACAAACTAAACCCCTCCCCCCCCTGTCCCCCCGTCTCACGCGACACACGCCCTCAACAGTGCGCCTTTTAAACACTCATCGCGAGGCCCATTGGCTCGCCCTAGTCCTCCCATGCCGATGTACCACCTATCTACGCGGCCGTAGTCAGGAACTCATCGACGACGTGCGGGTCTTTTTCGACTTCTACCGTGCTTCTCCCGCGTCTGCTCTCCCACGTCTCCTCCACATGGGCCTTGGCGGCCGTCGAGTCAGGCGTGAAGACAAACACGCGATGCTCACCTGTCCGGGCGTCAGCGTCGCCCAAGGTAACTGTGGCGGATATGCACCTACAATTTTTGTATGCAGTGCCCAGCATGGGATCTTCAACGTCCCAGTCCTCAGTCAGAAAGTGAGCAAACGCCCCGTGCGTCACCACCAGCACCTGTTATCAGTCAGTCAGTCAGTCAGCCACCTGGCAAACTCTGCCCCTGGTCTGCTTTTGTGCTTGCCTGGGCTTCGGGACGCTGGAATAGCCAGCTCCTCACGTCTGCGGCGCGCTTGCTAATGGCCGTCTTCTCGTACGCCCAGTAACCGTCCTGCACGTGACCCGTTAGCGCATATCCTGACGTCACACCAGTGACATGTGCCGACCTTGGAATTCCATCCCGGCGTCACTGCTGAAGCATCAATCTTGCTGAGATCAAAGTCAATCTCTCCAGCCTCGAACAAATCAGGCAGTAGTCGCTGCAAATCAGCCGCACTATCCGCCAGCCCTACGTCGCATCCAATGTTGCTGACCTCCTGCAGCGCCGGTAGCAGCACAAACGGTACTTCTGGCCGCGACAGCACCCGTCCGAAACTAAGCGCTGCCGTCTGAATTGTCCGCCGCAGTGGAGACGCAAACACCGTCTCTATCTCATCGTGGTGTTGAAACGCCGCGCTGAGGGCCCGGCATTGCTCCTTGCCTTTGGCTGTTAGTACCGCATCGCGAATGCTGTAGTCGCGCTGTTGTGTGTTAGACTCGTCCAACATGATTGCTCCCCCATCAGACATACAGTCGCATTGTGCTCTCCTTGGGCGTGGCGAACGAGATGAATCTTGGGAGCCATGGTGATGTCAGGTTCAGAGTTGCTGATTCTGCACTGTAGACTTCAACTGGGTGGGGCCGCCTCCGATTGAGTCACCGGGTCCTATCGCTCAAAGCCCAATTCGATTCGGCACGGCGAGCTTGGAGTATTGCTTATCTTTGAAATCCTTTACAATCTCTGCATCCTCTTTTGACGTCTGCCAGTGTCTTTATACCTCAATGGCTGTTCCTTTGATTGTACCACTCTCGACCGTTTCTTCGTTTCCATGGGGAAGGTTTGCCGAGCGCCTCGGCGCTAGTCCATGTTCGGTCAAGCACAGTTGATGTGGAAGAGGTGTTGATTGAGTGGCACTAACATTCCAAGTAGTCAATCCTCTAGACGCCATCAACATTTTCGTTGGCTCAATATCGCAGTTACAGAACATGTATTGAATCCATTCTTCTAGCTCTTCATGATGCGCAAGCATTACCGTGCTACCATTTCTGCCACGGGACATGTTTGAAAGGCCTTGATCAGCCGTCTGCGCAAGGACGTAATCGATGCAAAGCGAATTTATCGAGGCTGAGCAATAACTAAATGTAGTATTAGACGAATTTGTCGGGAAAGAAGAAGGTCAGAAAGACGTACTCGAATTGAGATTCCGGGACTGCTGAAGAGGCTGATCAACTATCCGGCATCGTAAAGCGAGAATGGTAGGTGTTCACACATCATTCAGTCAAGCCTCATTTCAATCCCTAGATGGCCACCCGGAAAGATTTGTCCCGAAATATCAAAACACAAAGTCGAGGCAGTTTCTTGATTATGAGAATGCACCGTTTTGGCCAAGCTGCCACATCGGATCCGCAGAGACCCCGCAGCACTAGCGTAACAGGCTTATCCATAACACCAAAATGTCATCGTCATTCACAGTACCACTAGAGTTTTCCTAAACCCTTCAATCTTACTAGCAATCACCATGGCGAATCAGGAGCCAACTGTGCTTATCATTGGCGCTGGTACTTTTGGTACATCGACTGCATACCATCTCAGCAAACAATACAAGGATCCTTCGCGCATAACCATAGTCGACCGCTGGGATACAACATCACCTCTGGAAGAAAAACAAGCAGCAGCCATTGATACAAATCGCATTATTCGCACAGACTACGACTCACATCTGTACTGTAATCTCGCCAACGAAGCAATTCATTTCTGGTTCTGGAGCATTGCAGTCCAAGGCCATTTCCACAAGACGGGATGGATTGTACTGGATAGTAAAGAGGGAGGTTTTGGCGATGCAGTGAGAAAGACGTTTCTCGAAAGAGGAGGCGACTACACGCGTGATGTTGATCCTGGTGAATTGGAAAAATACGACATAACCAAAGGAGTCCAAACCCAGCGCCTGGGCAAAGGCTACTTCAACCCCGAGGCAGGATGGTGCGATGCCGAAAGGGCTACCCAGAGCTTCACCAAAGTCGCACTGGAACTCGGCGTCAAGCGCATAACAGGCGAAGTCCAAGAACTCATCCTCAACCGCGACAAATCCGGTCTTGCCGGCGCCAAGCTACGAGACGGACGCATTTTCACCGCCGACAAGATAGTCCTTGCAGCCGGAGCCTGGACCAGCACCCTCATGTCTCCTCTCGAAGACGCTCTCCGAATTCCGCACCAAGACCGCATCGAGCGCCAAGTCACAGCCGTCGGCCGCGTCTCAGCATACTACACGCTCAACGACTCGGACACGCAATCCCTCGTCTCGCAAGACCAACCCGTCATTGTCATCGGCAGCGAAATCGACATCATCCCCCCTTCCACCCCCAATCGCACCTTGAAAATCAACGATTTAACCTCTGAAATCGTAAACACACTGACTACCCCCTCGGGCCACCGCATCACCGCTCCCTCACGCAGACACCAAACCGATGTCCCCGAGAAACTCAAGCAGCAAAGTACCCGCCTCATTCACGCTTCCATGCCGCAATGGACAAAAAACCGCGTCCCCAGTCGATGGCGCATATGCTACGATGCCGTGACACCCAGTGAAGATTGGCTCCTAAGCCGCCACCCACACGCACAACTGACCAATTTATACATTGCCGTCGGCGGTAGCTTTCACTCTTACAAGTAAAGTTTCCCCTTCTTCGTCGTCTTCTTCTTCTCATTCAGCCACAGAAAAATGCTGACACTTTGGAAATAGATTTCTCCCCGTCGCAGGCGCATACATGCTCAACGTCCTGTTCGACAAGTCCAACGGCGACGAAAAAGACGCAGCTTGGGCGTGGAAGAGTCAAGACTGGCTCGCCAAATGTAATGGCGAGGCCAAGGAATTCGGGAGTCAGAGGGTCAAGGGGAGACAGAGGAGGGAATTGAGCGAATACGAGCATGATGGGGCTGTGGCAAAACTGTAACTAGTATGTCTGTGTGTAGGTGTGTGTGTGTGTGGGGGGGGGGGGGTTGTAAATAAAATTAACTACTATTGTTATTTTCCAGGTGGCCTCGCATAAACAAAAGAACCTACTAGCTCTTGTTGTATACTTTGTTATCTATCTCCATGACTATAATACACAACATGGTCCTCCCCACTCCCCCCAACACTAATCCTTCTTCTTCTTCTTCTTCATCATCTTCTTTTTCTTCCCGACTCACTCCTTAACCCTAACAACGACTTTCCCAAAATGACCCCCACTAAACAAATACCTCAATGCCTGATCCGCCTCGTGGAACCCCCACACGCGATCAACAACGGGCCTTATCTCCTTTTCCTCGTAAAACTTGAGCATGCGCTCTAGCTCATCGCGGGGCCCATTCAAGATACCCTTGAGCGTGACGTTGCGCTTGAGGCAAAGCAAGTTGGTGTTTGTGCGATCGGAAGCGTTGTCGTCTTGCTTGCCGGATAGATACCCGATGCATGCGATTAAGCCGCCGAAGCGCACGCAGTCGAAGGACTTGCGTAGGGTTTGTGCGCCGCCGACTTCGATGATGATGTCTGCGCCTTCACCGTTTGTGGCGGAGAGTACGGCGTTGTCCCAGTCAGATTGCGTGCGATAGTTAATCGTCGTCTTAGCGCCGAGCTGCGTTGCGCGCTGGAGTTTTTCGTCAGAAGACGAGGTTACGATTGCGGTTGCACCCGCGGCGGTGGCGATTTGGCAGGCGGAAATACTGACGCCGCCGGTGCCCTGGCATACGACTGTTTCGCCTGGCTCGATAATGGAGCCCTTTGGGCGCATGCAGTTGAGGCTCATCCATGCGGTCATTGCGGCAATGGGGAGACATGCTGCTTCGTCTGCGGAAAGGTAGTCTGGGATTTTGACGACACCGTAGGTGGGGAAGACGCGGTACTGGGTTAGGACTCCTGGGGCGGGACCGCCCAGGCCGTTGGCGACGTCTGAGGCTTTGACTTGGCCGGAGAGATGGGTTGGGGCGAAGGTGCTGATGACGCGGTCGCCTTCCTTGAGTTGAAAGGCTGGGTTTTTGAAGGGATCGCTGGTGTTGGAGGAGATTGGGCCCACGGCAACGACGACACCGCACATGTCGCTGCATGGGACGATTGCGGGGGGATGTTCGACAGAGGAGTGGTGGTTGTAGAGACCCATTGCAACTGCACGTGATCAGTGACGTTATCGTAGAGTTGCGATACATCAACACGTACCCTCAGTATCTCTGTAGTTCAAGCTGACAGAGTGAATTTCCACCAGCACTTCGTCCTCGCCTGGTGTAGGGCAGTCTACCTCTGACATTCTCAACTTATCGAGACCGTCCTGGCCTGTAAGCCACTGCTTGATCTTTTGCGGAGGTGTCATCTTGGCTGGTAGTAGAAACTGCGTCGAATGCCTTTGGAATGCCAGTGTTGAGATTGATTGTAGATGTCGACTGTGTCTGTTTTAAACTCTTGCTCTTCTGGTGCGAAAACAGGCCGGAAATCTCGCTCAGCCAATCTCGGCGATCTTGGGAGAAGGGTGGGGTTGGCATCACGGGCAGATCTCTCTACTTTATAACGAAGAATCTCGATGGGCGGGCTAGTATCGAGGGAATGCAGACAGTGGAGCTTGAGCAGCGGGCAGAAAGTCGCCGAAGATGTGTGGGGAGCAGCATTATTTCTATTTGTCGTGGCCATGGCGGCAAGGTGCTCAGCATAGCCATCGAGGTGTTCAGGTGCAACGTCACTGGCCGGAATCGCCCGGCAGCCGAGGTGGCAGGGCGCTGTCGGAATGCGCAAGCCGATGCGGCCCCTCAACACCATGGATGCTTATCGCAGACTATCGTGAGGTGTGCAAATGCCTCAGCATTGATCATACGCGTACCTGGATGTTTGAAACGCCTAGTCTAGTGACAATGGCCGGAGACGAGGAGCGGTGCGCATGCCCCTGACGCAGGTCCATCTGTCAGCGTGCTGCAGGGCCTGAAGCTGGCGCAATTTGGCTCCAACAGGATAATGACGATGACTGTGACGAGTACATCCAGAGACAAGGCGCTATGGAGCGGCCCAGATTTGTTGTTCTGTTGAAACCACGGGGGCTCGTGCTAGACAGGCATGATGGTCATCGTGGCACGCGCCATTGGGCGTGGAAAGAAGCAACATCACATGACGACACCGGATACTTATTTAGTGCTTGGATATAATCTCTCACCAGCCCGGATATAAACTCGCGCGATCCCCAGATATCGTCTCTCCAGATACGACTCCTCAACCCATCCACTGCAGATAGCACCACGCCCAGAGACATCACCATGGACTTCCAGCACCACTACTACGCCGGCCAAGAAGCCTTCCCGCCGCCTTTGCCAAACCATCTTAGCTCAGATTACTCGCCAGCACTATCCATCATGCAGCAGTTCCACGCAGACCTCCTCCGCATGGACGAAGAGCATCTCCAGCACCGCGATTCAGCCACCCCTCCCTCTGAAGTCCCCTCTCCATTTCCCGACGACGAGCCACTGCCCGACACCATCCTGGGCAGGGTACGAACCTGGTATCGCAGGCTCTCGCGTCGACGGACTAGCGACGTCTCAACCCCATGAACAGGAAACATGATATCGTCTGCGTCATGCAGGTACCAGTTCGCATGCGATCGCACTAGTCGCGATCTCGTTCCAGCTTGTCGGGCCGCCCGTCGCCGCTATTCGATACAACCCACGGCCATATCCCGTCATCGATCGCGGGCGATCTAGCGTTGACGATTTGACATTTATGCGACGTCACACCGCCGGCCGGGTGGCATGTCACTTTACCAGGGCATACCTGGCATGCTCATACAGATTTGACACGGTGATGGGTGCCGTTTAAAGTGACGTCGCCCGTCGCAGCAGCATCCAAGTATCGGTAGGCCCTTGTACAACCGAGTTGTTTCTGTACGATGACCCCAGCCCTCGACCGAGGAAGCCCCGCGGACCGCTTCATGGATGTTATCGCTATCCGCTCATGGGTCTCGTAAGGTTCCGTCCGACGCGCCGCAGCGGAATGGCTCTGTTCGCTCCAAAGTGATGTGGTCCGAGAGATGAGACGTGTGTGTCTGGATGAATGTAGTGATAGCTGCGTGAAGTCAGTCAGGTAGATTCGAGATGACGATGGAGGAGGTGCAATTAATAATACCAGTATAAACGTGTGCTTGATTCGCAATCATGTATATTGCATATGTTAGTAATGGGTTGATGCCGTTGGTGGCGAGGGGTTGTGGGGAGTTGCGGGGAGTGCTCGTGTCATACCGAGGCCTAGGACCGATAAGTTTTGCCAAGGAACGATAAGCGTCAATCCATGGGTCAATCAATCTTGTTCATGATCTACCACGACAACTTACGCAGTGCCATTGGTGCTAGAGACGATTATTTGAGAGATGATTGCAGAACACAATCTACATGGAAGCATTGGGCTGTGACTTAGCTCTATCCCACATCCAAAGCTCCGAAAAACGCCTTACCAGGCAAACGAAGCTCAGGACTGAGCCCGTTGGCGCCAGGGCTTCTTCAAGAATCAGGCAAACAGGCTCCGTGCTCTCTTTCTCAACAAAATTCATGTTAGCGGCGCCCTGACCATGCGGGCCGCCCACCAGACCAGTGTCCTGGTCATTGGAATGCGGGCTACAGAAGACTGAACAGATGTCAAGAACTGGTGCAGCATTCCCCAGAGCGGGCGCTCGCTGGGGCGCAGCGTTGCTACTGCTACATCGGGATACGACGGTGGCAAAGCACGTTGCACACCCAACAGGTGCATGCTTGCCAAGGCACGACATTTGCAAGGCACAACGATTATGACGGATCAGTCGAATCTAGCTACCCCACAAGACGTTAATTAATCTTGACCTGTAAACATTCCCGGGGAACCCGCAACACAGGCTGTAGTGTCTGCCAAGCAGGCGTGTGCCTTTTTTTTTTACTCTTGTGGCACATGGCCAGGGGTCCGGACGCGCTGAAAGTACGTAAGAAGGGTCAAAAGGGCACAGGAAAAAAAAAGGTGCACGCACTGACCAGGACTGTACTGTCTAAGTAAGTATTGACGACCATAATGCAGCACTGGGTGAGATGCCATCATTGCTGCGTACTTACCAGCCCGGGCCTCTACGCATTCGGCGCTATCATACGTTGCCCCTCGTGGTCTAGTGGTGCCCTTCCCCGCAGCGCAAGATGACACTCGCACTCGCGGCGATAGGGGGACTACCTCGCATACTTACTCGACAACGTGGCCACCCAAATTTTTTGAGCCATGGTGGACCGCGTCAGCTAAGGGGCCAAAAGAAATGCACCTTTGACTGGCCGGACCTGAAAAACTGTGCCTGTCAGACAGGCGCAGTAGGCGCGCGAACATGTTTGCTTGCGTGAAGCTTTGACGTAGGCGCATGGGACGGGCGTGTGCAGGCTCTCGCGTCTTTGCTGTCTCTACGTACGGGCGCAATGTCACGTTTCTTCAATTTCACCTGCAGCTGATCCGGTGAAAGATGTGAAACAACATTTGACATATTCCAGTGCCACCCCAACGCTATCTGCGTCTTCTTTTGGGAATAGCTTGACCCGACGCTCAGGCTTTTGGGCCATGACAGATTACCCTGCCTATCTTGGTGTGCGTGTTAGGCTTTTGTTGCAGCTGCTAAAGAGCCGAGAGCTGGATCCGCAAGCTCTCTTGGGGAAGGAGCCAACCTGGCCGCCGCTCCCATCCTAGTCCGGTTAAAGTCATCTCTTCGCGCGCAGTCACTCACTGGCCTCTACTGTGGTGAGCGGCCGCGATTGTTATCGCGTCTAGCCAAGAGACGCTAAATCAACAGGCATTGGTTTCATAGTAGGGCTTACACGAGTGACGAGTGACGAGAAATCTCGCCTTGAGGCTCTGCTTCGACGATGGCCTCCAAATCAGCGGCCGGGGGTGGGCCAGATAAAAACCTCGCGTCGACGCATTTGCGCATCTAGCTACCTGCCTCTACTGTAGTATTGCGCAAGTCAGCAAGTGCCCTCGCCAACCGATTATTCTTATATCACCTTGGACCCATTGTCCTATAACATTACTCTCCTTTGCTCCTCACATTACCGTTGCCACTACAGCACCGTGTCTCCCTGCTTCCCACACCACGCGTGCCACTCCAGCGCCGCCTCCGCCAACACCCGCTGCTGCTACATTGCCCTCCCCCTACTTATCACTGCACCGCTGCCTCCACTTGCTTTCTGCAAAACTACTGCCACTACAGTGTCGCCTCTCTCTCTCTGCTTCTCACCAAACGGCCACTACTACAACGCCGTCTCCTCCTGCTCCCTACAGAACGCATACCATAGTAGCGTGGTCCTCTTCCTTGCACCCTCAGCAACACAGCCCCGCCTTCATCGACCGCTTCGACCCTGCCCTAGATTACTTCACCCCCCAGCGCCGAATACAAAAGGGCTGCAACCTCCTTGTGCCCAGTGAACATCAACCAGCACCTCACTGTACCCCACGAGTACCATACCGACACGGACCATTCCACTCTTCACTGCCACGAAGAAACATGTCTCACAGTGAGTCAGCTTGTCATATCTGTTCCTCGCATGCGTGAACACAGCATGCTGTTGGCCCACGCCGCGCGTACCAGCAACGAGGCACGCAATCCATGTTCCTGAGCCGTCCCGCTGATCCCCCACTTTTAGCCCACCGCTACCACGTCAAGTACCCGTCCCGCGGCACCCTCGCTCCCATCGGCATACCAAACCACAGAAACGCCTTCGCCGTATATCTTCTCTGGGCGCGCCAGCGATACTACCGAATGCACGACGCGATGCACCACGAGGCCTCGTCGTCAGCTGCGTGCACGCGCAGCTCTGACGATGCGGTTGACGTGCATGTCGGCGGAGATGCTCCGAACTCTCTGCCCAGCCTACAGTTCGATGCGGCAAGGCTCAATACCGATCTGCTGGGAATAGGCTCGGGACTTGACGGCAGCGTTGACGCATCGGAGCTTATGTACCCCCGTGAGATCGACTTCATTGGGTGAGGGGCAATACCATGTAGGGCTGAAAGGGTAACAGCTCAGGCAAGGTTACCGACAGGCGCGGCTAACTAGCCTAACAGCTACCCACGGTGGCTAAATGGGGCGTTTTAGGATTTGTTTATTTTTTATTAGAGGACCAGGGATCTTTGGAAGCGACTCGCGTCGGGGCGTTTTGCGGTTATCGCAATACTCAAGGGCACATGGCTATGTGTAACAGTAGTTTTTTTTTTTGTAAAAAAAAACGTTAAAGGTGTACGAAATGATGGAAATGAATCAAGACTTGTTATTGTCGATTGCGAGATCACACACACTTTTTTTGTTCCAACGATTGTGCAGCACAAGCATGCACAAACATGCATAGTGATGTGTAATGCACCCCCATGTGACTAAAACAAAGAAAAAAACTACAAACCGTCATCACTAGATTACAATTATAAAAGAACAAAACTTTATCCATGACTTTTCCCAGACTCTACACACACATATATATATATACACTCCTATTCTATAACTACACAAAAATACCCCAACTTACTTGCTTGACCTTTTCCATTCTATCCCCTATACCTCTCTCTCTCTCTCTCTCTCTCTCTCTCTTACCAGTTGCAACACTTACCATTGCAAAAACTATATATCTATCTCATTCAAGGAAAAGGAAAATCTCAAACACCATCTTCATCACTGTAATTCTCATCTATCTCTACCTTGCGCATCGCGTGCAGCGAGGTGCGGCGTTGCGGGGCAGGAGACTCGAGCAATACTAAGTCGTTTTGCATGTTGGTGTCGTGCGCCGCGGGAGGGGAGCGGGTAGAACTAGAACTGGGACTGCCTTGTTTGGATGGCGAGTGAGTTGGTTGTGCGGGGGAGGAAGGAGTAGTGTTGTGTTTGTGGGGTTGTGTCTTTGTTGTGAGGAGTTGCTGGGTTGGTGCCGTGGGTTTTGCGGCGGGTTCTGTGACAAGATTTAGTACTACGTGCTACTTACTGTCGAAATTTGGTTCGGAGCCACTCGCGAGTTTGGGCGGCTGCGGTATTTACATACCTGGGTTGAGGAGGTGGGGAGATAGGTTGTTGCCGTATGCGCCGGCTAGCTCGAGGAGCATTTCGTCGTCTGAGTTGAGTTTCTCTTGGCCTTTGAATGGATTTGCTGTTCCGCTATTGTTTGATGAATTTGCATTCGCTTCCTCGCCGTTATCGTCGTCGTCGTCGTCTTCTCTCCCGATTGCAGCATCATGCGCCATTTCCAGCGCCCGACTCGGCTTCCCGAATGCCCGTTCAGCACGCCCACTTTCCTTTACTGCTTTCCCTTCTACGGATGGATCACCGCGCCACCGGATTGCTTCAGGCACCTTGCCTGCATCGTAGAGTGGCTTGTACGTCGTGTATTCGTATCGGACGCTCTCGACGGTTCGCCCGGAAGATAGGTTCGCGAAACCGAAGCCCGTGGCTTCGGTGAAGTCCTGCCCCATGAAGCGTGCGTTGTGACGCTCAGTCAGCTCCCAGATGGAGGCGTCGGGTGTGTCTCGCAAGAGTGAGGCTAGGTACTCGCGCTCGATGCGTTGCCAGGGTCTATCCATGGTTGTGCGGTCAATGGCTTGGTAGCGGCGGTCGTTTAAGGCCTTGATCGTTTGCATGCTGTTCCAGTCTTTCGGTGTCTTCCCGTAGCAGTATATCGTTGGTGTGCGTTTTGGTGTTGGATCTCTTTTGCTCTTGGGACGCATATCAATCAGTTTTACGATGTGCAAGGCTTCTTGATCGAGGTTCTGTTCTCGGGAATCGATGTCGGATGGGGGGATGGGACCAAAGTACTTGACGTAGCGAGAGCCGCGCTTGTAGCGGTAGCCCCGGTCTTCCCATAGCGGTGGGTTGGTTTGTCCATTGCTTTCTCGGGCTGAGGGCTGGATGGAATCGGGACGTGGGTCGCCAGGCATGGGTTTGATGCCCCAGAAGGGGTTGGCCGGAGGGATTGCAGTGTTGTGGGTGAAAGTTGCGAAGCCATCGCCAACCGGAGGTTTCTTTGTCTTTTTCGACTTGCTGTTGGAAGTCTTGGAACTTGTGTTAGCATCATTAGCTGCAGACATACCAGTAATGACCTCATCTTTCGATTCATCGTCTGCAATATCTTGCATGTCGTTCGGTGCAGCGGAACCATCCTCCTGAACATCGATGATGTCTTCTTCTATTGTAACAGCCACGTGAGAATCATCTGCCACTCTATTTTGGAGTTTTGGAGAGACAGAATCGTCTACTTCCCTAGAGTTTTGCTTCTTGGAAGGGTTTCCGTCCGAAAGCTGAGATTCAGCAGCTCGTTTAGGCATTTTCTTAAGAAGAGGTATATGCTTTTTGGAGTTCGGCGTAGTATTAGGAAGTGTGATATCGTTGGTGAAAGTATCCATGTTTGCCTTGGAAGCGTTGCAGTCTATCGCATCCAGTTCTAGGTTTTGGTATGCTGATCTAGTTGTTTGTAGGGTTGTTCTGGGTGGTGAAGCAATAAGTACATCGGGGTTCCCATAATGACCGAGAATGAAAGCTCGTGGTCAGTATGCTGGCAGCGCTTTGAAAGTGTTATCTGAAAGTCCACAGAGGCCACTGTTCGTTCGGCTTCCTTTGAAAGTAAGTCAAAGTGTTGTGTTCGCCGACAAAGCGAGGGAAACATGAGAGCAATCATCGTTTAGGGTTGTCACAACAAAACAAAGAAGAAATCAACAATGTCGTTTTCAGTCGCGCATCCCAGACTGTCTCTCACAAATTTGTTGTATTGGAAACTCGAGATGTTGAGATTGACTTCGCCATCGTAAATGCCTTAGCCCAATCCTGCCCGTGGAATTGATGAGGAAAAATTGCGTCGATGCGCAAAAGATCGATGACCGACTACATTATTTCTCGTCACAGGTAACAGGTAGCTTCATTAGCAAAGTTAATAAGGTAATGAATCGAATCAAACATCATGGCTACAAATCCGCATCGTACCAAAATGGATCAATATCCCTAACTCTTAAGAAAAGTTTGTCTTGATCGCCTCCCAGTCCCTTTGATTGATTGAGGCATTTTCAATTCCCCACAACACCTCCCAGGGGGTGTATTAGTGAGTGAAGCGATGCTGACCTTTGATTTGAGGCATGGCGATCTGTAAGGGAAATAGGATTACACCTATACGCATTAGTGAAAGAAATGGCCGTGATCGAAGATCGCAAGGGAAAATCTTTCCCCCGCACCCTCCCGCGCTCTGTCGATGCCATTGTACAGCGAAAGCCTTTGGAATTTGTTCTCGATACTTGATTGATAAGACTTGTTTTTTGCCTAGCTGTGAGAGCAGAGTCGCCCTCCAGTCCTGCTATTGTGGCAATATATATCCTTCATTCCGAGGCAGGGAGGGTGGTTAGTTGTATCCGCTGCGTCATGACCAACACAATGTCAACGTGGGTTATTTGCACGCACCAGTTTTCCAAAGCTACACAATCGCCAGCAGATCAATTGCTCTGACAAAGTAGTTCCCGAACAATCTCGTAGCAGCTCTCATCACACTTTGTCGAATTGCAGACACATTTGTGCTGTCACCTAGCGGAAAGACATGCGACCCGAATTAGAAAAGTTACGCTGGTGATAGTGCATGACAAAATTAATTTCGCCCACAAGATGATATTTAGTAATCTAGCGAGAATATACAGTTTTAATCACACTACCTGTGGCGCGTATTATAAGAATGGATCAAAAAACATGTTTAGTACTAGGCACCTTAACAGTGCACTAGTAGTCACATTCGGTATATATACTTTGGTACTAGAACTACCAAAGTATACATTTTATAGGCTCAAGCCATGAATATCTCAAACGATGAACATACAAATATCCATTCACTTATCAAATTGGCCAGACTCTAAATGTGGCAGTGTGTACCATAAGCGGCCCTACTCTCAGCACCTCCCAACTGTTTCACTATGCCTCCCCTTTTCGGAAGTATCATACGTCAATACATGGAACAAGAGCGAAGTATCAAACGCTTCTATCGTTATTTCCATAGAATTGTTTTCCCTCTGATATGTTTGTACGTACAAACTCACTCAGACTTCAACTGGGCACTTCGTCATTAAAGCACCTTGTACAGGCCACACTACAGCTTCACGATACCTTTTTGAGCGGTCAATGTAACTGTCGATATGTCACTTCCTCCCGATTACAGTATCGGCAAGAAAACAGATACGGGAGAATATGACTCAGATGACGAGGCTTCCCCCCAGCGCGGAACGTCGACACCAATCAGTGGGCAGTTGGACAGGCTTCCAGAGGTCTCTAACAATGTCGATACCGACAACTCGCCATCCGATGAAGAACAAAGTACAGATCAGTCGTTCAACACCAGCGGTGATTCATTATCCCATGCGGTTGAAGATAGTGACAGCGAATTGTCGGACAATCCAGCGCCGTACATTGACCGCGAGCTCATGAACAAACCAAGATGACCAGAAGAAACTTTCGAGCCCCACGAAACGGACGCAACCAAAATAAAAGCCTTCTTTCATCTCAAGCTGGCGGATGGTAGCGGCTATTACAAACAAAGAGACATATTGCCTGAGCAACGCGAGTCAGCCGAAGACGATGAGAACGATGAACACGGTACTCTCTTCGTTCCTGAGCTAACAGCATACAAGGTTCCTCAGAAGCTCAAAGCTGGAAACAATGCTACATATTCCCCCTGGACTAAGGCCTCCACATGGCGATGGAAGCGAACTGCAGATGACGAAACAGAGTTCTGGACTCCGAGGTTCGTCTTCCGTCGATTTCATGCACGCACCCATAAGTACGAAGGGATATACGTCGGTGAGACGCGGATCAAAAATATCGACCCCAATAACAGGGCCTGGGTGTCCGCATACAACAAGTGGATCAGCCAGATTAAACGCCGCTCAGACAGCAGCTGGGTGCACGAAAAAAGACGGGACCACTGGACCGTCCCCGAGATTTGCGCCATGTACAATGGTATCAACGAGTTTCTACACATCAACGGCATCGATGCTTATCACGGGATGACGAACGTGAGCCTGCGGCCGATACTCGATGCGATAAACGCGGCAGGGAACAAGAATCGCGGTATGGATGCACTGCGCGGGCAGTTGAGTTCTGCGCATGCGTTGAAAAACGCAAGCCTGGCTTACCTTCGAGATAATGTGCAGGAGCTCGTCAAGTATCTGGAGGACGGAGGCATACTGGATGATGGGGAAAGGTTTCCCGAGAAGTTTATTCCAGAGGATGAATTTCCGACGGCTCCAAGGAGGAATATGCGGAAAATTGAGAGTAAGAACAAGTCCTCGGGTCATAAGGTGAAGTATGTGGCAGGTAGTGTTGAGGTTGATGTTCCCGGTAACGATACACTGGGCGATGGGACGTAGGTCCATCTTTGCTGGAGAAGTAGTTAGGAATCTTGCTTGCAGCTGATACCTCATAAATGGCTACTTAAAGCTGACAAGGTCATTCGAACACACATCTTTGCTTTTGAAAATTGATGCGTCGCATTTCTTGTCCTATCCCCAACGCTAGCGCACCTTCCTCATGACCCAAGTCACTTCTTCAACAGAATCACATAAGACCCCACCCCCTATCAATTCATAGCCATTCACGGAATGATGTAGCATATCGACTAAAGCTATACACCATGCATTCAGAAACTGTGAACATGGCTGCAAATCTTTCATATTCTGTTTCACGAGTTCCACTTGAGGAAACCGGCTGTGCGGTGGCGGACACGCTGCAGAAATTGCCCGCCGAGATCTGTGAGAGAAACGAAATGTGCAGCAATCAAGACTCGGAACCCCGGGAGGTTTGGGATAGCAGCAATTCAATGTTTTCGAAGAGAAGGCTGGATCGCAGCGAGGAAGAGGATGGCCTGGATGAACCTCAAAACAGCAGGACTGGACTCGAAGTCAACTTCTCTGGCGATCTTCCAGAGCCACTGCACCCGGATCAATTGCTGTCATACCTAGCAGCCTTGAACAAGAGCAATCGAAGTAGGTCGGAAGATTGCATTGTGGTGAGCAACGAAAGTGTCAAGCAATCGAGGCACACCGCTACAGAACTGAGCAATCGCCGTGGCGCAACCTCGACAGTCAATACAATCGGACTGGGTCTCACCAACGACTCTTCACCGTCATCTCCTTATCGTAGCAAAAACATGACAACCAAAGTATCTGAATCGCTTGAACATGGATTCTTGAACCCTGCACCTCCTATGGCTGACTTTTTGAGGCCGGACAGTAGGGGCACTGATCGCGCCTTCCCCTCTAGGCCTGTTCCGCTCTCACTGTTCCCACCCAGATCGCCATTAACAGGAAATCGCGAGTATACACCACCCAACAGCCCATTTCTTCAGTCAGTCAGCCCCATCTCGCCGCTGAACAACGGGAGAGACGTTTATGGCAATTACATCCCTTCAAATACACGTGATTACTTCACTACACAGTTACTGTCTTCTTCGCCAAACTCTCAGCCAATCATCGAGTACGAAGCTCCGTCTGTGAGTAAGAAGTCATCATCTACCAGTCGGCTATATGGCAGTCACTGGAACAAGCTAAAGTTGCTATGGAAAGTAGCTGACACTCAAGCACCCAACCCACAAGTCAATCCTTGCCCTCTGCAACTCATCCCTGGCGAAGACATCGTACCACAGGGCATACCCATAGTCACGTATGCAGGACGGTCTAGCAATCAAGCTCCACCCAGTATCCGTTCGCGGTTGCTTACAAGTCAGTCTACAACAGACTTGCATGTGATAGACAGTGTGAAAAGCAGACCTTCTACTACCTATACTAGTAGAAGTGATGCAAAAGACACCAACTCGCAAACGAGAACCCGACAATTGGCCGACAAAAATCGCATTCCCGTTGACAATAGCCGCTCTAATGCCATGACAGGCAACGGCAGAATCGCTCCCAGAGATGAGAAGAGATGGCACAAAGACAATCTTCCGCCACCGCCTAGAGTTCTACCGGCGCCACCGCCCAAAAGCGTCCAAGGTCAACATCGGAATGTCAGCTTGTCTCTATATACAGCAAAACAAAGCCATGGAGTAAAGTCGCTTGTGTGTAACGAGAAGAAGGACTCTAAGCCCAACAACCGACCTAAAAATGAATCTTCTGGTATTTGTCGAAATGTTGAAAATGACCGAGAAACGCGATACTATACGGAGAAGCAGCAGCAGCTATCTAGAGAAACAGGTCATGAATGCCAAGAGAGCCTTGTGTACCGAGAAAAAGCACATAAACAAAAACATGATCTGATCATGCCCGGATCTGAAGATGGCACCACCAAAACAACGACAGTACGAGATATGGATAGCCGTTTCGAGATGAAGCCCATGGTAGACTCGGATTTACAGTCGTCCAAGATTCCAGCCGCATCATCACCCTCCTTGCCTTGTCGTAGCCCAATTCCTGTATCTCCTCAATACCCGAGTGAACAGGTGCGCGACCCAGGAACAGTTGGCCATTCCACTTTCGTTCCATCACCAACACCTGTCGCGTCGATCGCTATCCAAAAACATCAACCCTCGCTTCGTTCTGTGCTTTCGAAAGCAGGAGAACTGTCACGCTCCGTCTTGATTTCACCCTTTGAAATTGGATCCAAATCTGGTTCACAATACCATCGATTGGTGGATCTGGACGAAAATGAGCCAATAAAGCTTGGTATGAGTGCAGATAGTAATGGATGGCCTCGCTCATGTTCTTCGAATCCAAGGAAAGAGATGGCGGAACGCAAAAGGGGGAGAGCAAATGGAATGCGAAAGATTGAAGGTCTAGATCCTGAGAGGTACCTTGGGATAAAAGGCTCTGGAAGAAATGAGTATTTGAGCGCACCAGCGGTAAGCAATGATACTGGCGGATCTCAATCATCTATCTTTACAAAGCGACGGAATGTACCTAATCCCGGTATTGAACCTGCCTCCACCTCCAACCTGACCGATATACAGGATCGATTCCAAGCAGGCCTCGCTACTCGGAACAAGGCTGACGGCGCTTTGCATTCAAAGCAAACGACTCAAGAATGGCTTGATAGCATCGTTTCCCGAACAAGTACTACCACACAACCCACTCTCAACAGAAGCAGCGACTCCAACGATGAAACTGATCACCCATCTCACCACGTCCTGTCCCGAGCTAGTACCGAAGCGAACAGCCTAGCAGCCCAGTACCAAGCCCTCACCACTGGCGCCCTGAATCCTTCATTCACACCGACACTCTCCACTCACGATAAACACGAAAATCTCGACAGCGCTACACAAGAAGCTCTTCTTGTCGCCGACCGTATCCGCCAATACGATGCAAGATTTAGCGCTGATGGCGAGGGAACCATGATCCGATCGAGTTTCAGCTCTGATTCATCAGATGAGGTTACACAGCAAGAGGAGGAGGAAGAGAAGAAGAAGAAGAAGAAGAAGAAGCGGAAGAAGCATAATTTGTGGGGAAGGCAGGATTTTGCTAGGGTTATGACTCTGATGCATTCGTATGAGTAGATTCTATGCTCTGCTCTCTTCATGCGGGGAGGGTAGTGGTTTTTCGAGGATCTCAATCTGAGGTGAACAAGAGAATTAAGGACTAAGGCAAGATTTCAGTATATTGGGAGCTATGTATACATAGCTCAGGTGAACTCATTTTATGCAATAGAAATGAGATAGTAAAGGATGATTTACAAGATTTCCTCATTCGGACCTGCTGCGCGTAATTATCTTCGTCTAGTGCTACTACAACAGTGCGTTACTAGATGAACAAACACATTGGAAAAAGGGAAAAAAAAAAAGAAGAAGTTGATAGTGTACATCCCTTCGCTCAGAAAATCTACAGTAATGTTACATCTCCTCCAGAGAGCAGCCAAACCCGGCGCTACGATCCAGTGAAGCCCCCCGCGAACAAAAAAACGATACAAAAGTACAAACCCAGAAGTCTCACAAAGAGTAGAGTTTGCTCCCAAGAGCCATAAAAAGAAGAAAAAGGAGAAGAAGAAGAAGAAGACTCGCAAGCCCAGCCATCTGCATTCCAAACCTCATAACTCACAACCTCAATAATCGCAATGACTATACTCATACAAGCTTCCCACCCCAGCAACCCCAACCACACACGCCAGCGCCTCCTGGCGATCCCAAAAACACTCCCTCATGAACTCCACCATCATATCCAGCCCGGAAACGGGCGAATTGCAGCTCCAAACTTTTCCGTGCCGCGTCCAAGGCGCATACTGCCACTCCGTCTCTGGAAACCTATGCTGCAGATAGGGTAGCAGGGAGCGCGGTGCCGCAACGCGGGTGCCGCGGAGACTTCCTGCTTGGACGAGGTGGGCGATACCTGAGGAGATGGTCATGATGGCGAGGAGGTTTGTGTTGAGGCACTGGGAGGTGAGGAAGGAGGAGGCTTGGGGAGGAAGGGAGGTTAGGTTTGGGGTGCCGGGGATGAGGAGGATGTCGAATTGGGGGGCGTTTGTGAAGGAGTTCTAGAAAAAGGAATTAGTTATGTTGTTGAGGATTCTTTTTTTCGGTGGGTGGAGGAGATGGAAATCAGGGAGAAGGAAGAGTTGTGAAGGGGATCGTGTTAACCTTTGTCTCCCGTGCCAGACTTGTCAGAGATGACTACTTTGATATGAAAAAAAAGGAGCAGCCAAGACCGGGCGAATCCAGCGGGGGCCAAAAAGGCGGGTTCTTCTTGGCCGGGAGAGCGGGTTGTAACGGGAGGATGGACGGAAAAGGCATATTGGGTTCGGTGGGTGGTGGTTTATGGGAGCGAATTCGAAGGTTTAGCTCACCGTTACCGGCATTCGTGAGCCAGCTGTAACGGGAAAACTGCCTTCTCCCGTCATGCTAACATATCGAATGTCGATTTCGTCCACGGCTTGGTCCAATGCTGCGGCCGTGGGGTTGAATTTGCTGATTCGACTTTTGCTAATCATGGCGAGAAGGTCGAGAGCGGCCAAGTCGAGTAGTTGGACTTGACCGACAATGATAACACCAACTTTTATTGAGGATCTTGAGGGAGCGGCATATTGGAGGTCGAGGTTTTCTTGCGAGGTTGATGATGTGGTGCAATAATAGAAGAGGTCCGCTTGACTTGGAAAAGAAATACTAGAGTTTCCTGTGGGAGACGTCATGAGGATGTGAGGAAGGACCGAGAAGAGATTTGAATATAAAGTCGACTAGACTGGAACTTCTGAAGCTGTAAGGCCTGGTGTGAATAATGTACTCTCACATTGTGGCCTGAGGAAGAGCTTTATATCACAGACTACGTAGGTGATGAGCCATTCTGCATCACTCAAACCCACGTAACATGGGCAAGGGTAGCAGACGCCATGCCCAAGCGTCATACGGGGATAAATGCCGCGCTTACTCCATGGCGCTCTTGCGCTATACTAATGATGTGCATTGGTGAATTGCAATGCGGCTCAGCCCCTGGGAAGGTTGATGACTTTTCGGTTATTAGGGCCCGCTCGCGAACCGACAGTTCCCGACCGTCACCATTAACTTTGAACATGACGTTGTCTGATGGGCTTGCAGTAATTATTTTTTTTGGTATCAAAGACGCAGTCACAATGAGCCTCTGGTGTAGTTTTTCTATTTGTTTTGGACGACTGGTGCATAATGTTGTTGCCTGTGTGCCGTCTTGATGCTGCACAGATTGAGGATACTAGGCATCACCATTTGCGACCATGTCAATGGACCATGACTCTGGGTAGACGGCACAAGCAGCGGCAGCGGCAGCGCCGAACCGTAATCGCGCATCCAAGAACCATGATCAAACTCGAATCTAGTCCGAGGGGGCCTAAAAACGGAGGTGAAGGGAAGAGTCGGAGGTAAGTGTGGTCAGCTGCCATGGAAAGACGAGCGTGGCAGATGGCATGGCGACAAGTATAGCACTGGGCGTTGCGAGGGGCCAGACAGGGACGGCGACCCGGCTTCACCTCGTGGCATGTGACCTCGACGCGCCGCTTGGGGCAGAAGCAATCTGGTGGAACACCGAGATGCCGCGAGCAGGCGGTGCGCAATACGAAGTCAAATCCACAACGGCTCTGACGTACGTATGGCATATCAAGTTGCATCTGCTACTGGAGTCTCTGCAAAATGACGCGTTGCATTTCACAGGCCATCATTTGTATGTACACGCATGTTATGGTGCGGGGTATCCTTATTCAATTGCAACATCTACTATGTATACGTTGCTCGAGGTGTACAGGGCCGTCGCGGCAGCACAAAGGCTTGCTCACAATGCGACCGTAATAATGTTCACCGCGTCTTGTCCAAAAAAAAATCAAACAAATGTAATAGAAAAATCATTGCCCGCTGGCGGTGCATGCTCTGCCCTAGACCTCCTTGGCCTCACCGTCGGCCTCGCCTGACTTGACCGTCTTGCCGGTCTTCTTGATCTTCTCCAAAACGGTATCGTAGTCGAGCGAGTCGGCAGCGGTAATCTCAGCAGTCTGGTTCTCAAGAGAGACATTGTACGACTCAACACCTGTATGCTTGTTAGAGTCTGTGGTGGCGCAACTGCTGCTGGGCACGGTACTGACCTTCGAGCTTCTTAAGCACGCGCTCAATGGCGCCAGAGCAGCCGCCGCAGCTCATGGCAACGTTGAACTTGTATGTGTGGGTCATTGTGTAGGTTGTGGGTGTGTGGTATCGGGCTTGGTTGGAGGGGTGGTGGTAGTGGTCTTGAGGGTTAACGTGGATTTGGCAAGATTTTGTTGTTCAATGCTAGCAATCATGAAGCGGTCACGCAAGAGGTATATATAATCGACTACATCGCGCGCTAGCGTAGGTAGGGACTTTGACCAAGGGATATGAGCAAGTTTCAAGACAATGGTGCAATCCGGCTAGATTGCAATAGATTGTGGTCGTGCTCCGCTGACACATGCAACCTTTGCTATGACAGTCCGGCAGGTGGAACCCGTTGCGCCTCAGCCAGCTGCATTTCTCATCTAAGGTTTGAGGGTCGGACAATTTAGTGGGGTGAAACTTGCTCACGGAGAACGTCCTGGGGCCCAGAAAGGAAATTATGCCATTGCTGATTCTCTCGACAACACCGTGTCCCCTGCCGTGCCTCCGTAGATAAACCTGTCGCTCCGCATTCTCCGCGTGGTGAGCATCAGCAACGAGTGTCAGGGTGATGCGATGCTCCGTATCGTCCGGACAGACTCGAGATGGCAATACTGAATACCGGTCCGATCAGAAATGCCCAATGATCAGGCTGCCGAGACATAGCCCGTGAGGCACCAAACGGTTTCTCGCGCTGCTCGCATGTTGCAAGGTCTACTTGTTTCCCTTATAGCCAAGTAGAGAAACGCAGAGTCGCCCAGCATCGTCTGGCCCACGTCGCGTGCTAATCTTGTCTTGTTCCTGATGCTGAACCCTGAGACTGAGCGGCCCCACGTTGGCTAGCGCGGGGGACCTGGGCTGGCCTGCGACTGCGGCGGTGACGTCTTTGGGCAGAGCTTGTGCTGTCCATGCCAGCCAAAAAAACATTCCTCTGCCATGGCTTCGTAGGTACCATACACGCCTCGACATGTCCTTCTGCTTACCAAATGACCAGCAACATCCTCTTCCTTCCCTTCCGACGCTCGCACTCGGTCAACCTCAGCGATGCCATCAAGCAGTACATCTCGTCCAAATATGACCAGCACCCGGACATGTTCACCAAGGACATCGAGACGTTCGAGAGGCTTCGCTCCGTCGCCACACATGCTCAGGAAGCCCATCCGAGCAACATCCCCAAGCTGCAGCAATACGCAGCGCAGCTGATATGGCTCAGCGGCAAGTTTCCCATCGACATTGGCGTCGAGTTCCCCTGGTATCCTGCGCTGGGATACAACACGAGCCGACCGACATCGCGCAACAATCTCCGGTTCGAACTCGCCAATATCATGTTCAACCTCGCCGCCATGTACTCGCAACTGGCAATGTCGTCCAACCGAAGCACGCCAGACGGGTTGAAAGCGGCCGCCAACAACTTCTGTCTCGGCGCCGGCGTTTTGTCCCACCTGAGAAACAACATCTTGCCCGATCTTCGGACCGAACCTCCAGAGGATATGGATCTCATGACACTCGAGTGCTTGGAGAAGCTTCTGCTGGCTCAAGCCCAGGAGTGTTTCTGGCAGAAGGCGGTCAAAGATGGGTTGAAAGATGCCACGATTGCAAAGTTAGCCGCACGCGTGTCGGATCTCTATAATGAAGCGGGGGACGCAGGTATACAATCCGATGCAATCAGCAGCGAGTGGATACATCACATGACAGCAAAGCACCATCACTTTGCCGCCGCTGCCCAGTACCGTGCAGCTTGCGACTCCCTCGAGAAGCGCAAGTATGGCGAAGAGGTTGCAAGACTACGCGACAGTCTCACATGCGTCGACGAAGCCCTCAAAGAACAGCGATACATCAACAAAGCCGTGTTAGCTGACTTGAACGGCTTGAAGAATCGCATAACCGAAGACCTAAAGCGGGCCGAAAAAGACAATGACATGATATATCTGTTGCCTGTTCCACCAAAGGCAGAACTCAAGATACTGGATAGAGCAAATATGGTAGTAGCAAGGGTTCCAAAGGAGATTGCAGAGTCCAACTCAATGCTAGGGGAGCATGGCGAGCTTGGTCCAGCACTCTTTTCCAAACTAGTACCATACTCAGTGCACCTGGCAGCGAGCATCTATGTTGATCGCTGCGATCGATTGGTCAACGGCCAGATTGTTGAGCAGCTGGAAGCATTGACAGACAAGATTCACGAGGTCCTCCGTAGCTTGAACCTGCCAGGATCGCTTCAAGCCCTCGAGAAGCCATTGGGCCTGCCGCCAGGTCTGGTCGCCCACGCTGATGAGATACGCCAACAGGATGGCATCAACCGGCTCCTACGCTCCATGGAAGACACCAAGAAACTCATGTATACCGACCAAGCCATCTACCAGGAAGGTGTTGATATCCTGCGCTCAGAAGCTGCAGAGGATGAAGGCGCACGTCGAAAATTTGGTACTGAGCAGTGGACCCGACCACCTGCCGCGCAAGCTGCGCCCAAACTACACGCCCAGATTACTGAAATTGATGGCTATTTCAAGGCTGCAACAAACAGCGACAACATTGTAAAGACGAAGCTCAAGGAAAATGAATATTTCATCAAGCTACTCAGTGGACCCGACCATGAACTGGAGAATTATGTGCCCAGTGGTCGGAGACCTGCGATCACTGGCGATGTAGAACGTGAGGCCGTCAAGTTACGGGGCAGCTTCAATGAAGTGAGCCGACTTGAGAGCAGACGGCGACGAAAGATTGAGGCTTTGAGGACCAAGGCGAAACAGGATGACATAAGTAGGTGTTGCACTGCCACGTCGCTGACCGAACCCTGACAAGACACTAGACCCAGAGCTGCTGCGCGAAGCCGCTCGCTTAGAGCGGGAGTATCCTATGCAGACGATTGAGGCTGTACAGTTTGAGAGTTTGTTCGATAAGCGACTACAGATGTATGATGCTGATCTGGACATGGTCCAAGAAGAAGAGAAGGAACAGGCCGAGGCAATCAAACGGCTACAGGACGCAAACGCTGCCTTTTTGATCGCTCGTCGCGGAGACCAGTCTACTAAGAAACGTGAACAGGCATTGCAAAACCTGGAGAACGCATACTTCAAGTACAAAGAGATCATCTCCAATCTTGATGTTGGGCGCAAGTTCTACAACGACCTTGCCAAGATTGTGAATCGGTTCAGGGATGAAGCGCGGACTTTTGCCTACAACCGCAAGTCCGAAGCATCCCATCTGGAAAGGTATGCTGCTGCAGTCAATAGTTTATTGCTCTATACTGATCACAGATAGCGATCTTACTACGCGGATGAGCTCCCTTGGTCTTCAGCAAGCAGCGTCGAACTCGCTGCAGCAACAGAAGCAAGCCGACGCACAGGATCCCCACTATGGCGCAAGTGCACATGCTGAAGAGCCACTGACTGCACCAACGCCTACGAGAGCAAGCATGCCTCCTGCTGCGGGTATGTGGACTCCAGAAGTAGGAATACGATTTGGTGGCCCCCCTACAGCGTCTGGTAATCCTCGGCCTTCGGGCGGACCTCCGCAAGACGGGAGGTGGGATCCTGCCCAAGGACTGAAATTTGGTTAAAGCTGCCAAGGGCGCCATCAGCATTGGTTCATTTTTCAGGGGCGATTGTATTGGATAATACCCAAGACGGACAGCAAGACGTTTGATTTGGACCAAGCCAATGGGTGTAGCCTTTCTCATTACACGCAGAGAAGGCGGAGTCAGGCCATGGCAGCGTCGTAATCCAAGGTAAGGCAGTGGGTTATGAAGTAAAGATCAATAGCACCGAGACTTGGGGGTCGTCGGACCCTGGCGCGTTGTTGCCATGTAATTGTGTAGTAGATGCAGCAGCACATGGAGAGGACATTACGTGTGCACACGCACCAGACCAAGAAATAATGGCCCGAAGGACGAATGCTATAAATATCGCTGCAGAAGGGAGGTTGTGTTGCACATAGTTGTCCAGAAAGGGCATAAGGGCGTGGTGCATGTACGTATCATGGTGGGGACGTGGTAATCAGCCTTGGGGGAGTGCCTTGCGACATGTGTGGAAGCGAGGCAGTGCACAAAGGATCACCCACCGGCCCTGGACGCCCTCTGCCAAGAAGTAGCGCGACCCGTGAAATCAAATCTGCCCTCTTGCACGTGCAACTCTGCCGCCGGTCAGGTCGATGCCGACCGTTTCATTGCGGTTCGGCGATACTGGTCGTCTGCAATTGTGACTGTGGCCACTCGCTGCAGCTGGTTGGAGCGTGGGCCAAGTGAGGTGCCCGCCCAAACTCACACCCGCCATTTACAAGTACTGCGCAGATGCATGGTAGGCCAGAAGCGACCTAGGTGTATAAGGTTGGGGCGGTCGGAGCATCTAGCACTGTGATTCTGCAAAACGTCACAGCGGTCGGGTAGCGGTCAGCTCAGCTCAGCTCCCACTCCAACGGCGCTGCCAGATCAGCCCGCTGTCGTTCCCGCCATACCAGCCATCTTCCGCTGGCGTCTCTTGTCCTTGTGCGTGCGCATGCTTTCTCTCCCTCTCTCGCGTTCCTCGTATCGGCACAAGACCACGGCAAGCAAACCACCTCCTCCTCTTCCTCCTCTTTTCCAGGGTCCACGCAACGTCGTCGAGGACAGCGCATAACTCACCACCCAGCCTGGCCGTTTCACTGCTCGAGCGACTGAAACGCGGGAACTGAGCAGAGAACTCTTGCAGTGGGATTTGCATCGCGGGGCTAATAATAGCAGACTAGACCGCTTCGAGCGGCGTTGCTCTTCGTGAGGTGGGCTGTGTCTGCGACCGACGACAACACTGCGCCTCCTTCACACTCACCAGCCCCAGCTGTCAAGCCAGTCAAGAGAGTACATTGCGCGTTCCTGGCGGACTTTGGACCATTCAGCGTTCGTGCCTGTTTCTTGGTGTCGTTGACTTCTCCACGCGGGCCCAAGCGCGGCTTTCAGGGCTCACTCCCTCCACATCCCACCTATTGTTAGGAACGCGAATACCTACATCATGGACATCCAGCAGCGGGGGCGCTCCCCCTCGGCTGGCCAGCATGCTCATAAGGACCACTCCCCCTCACCCGCCTCACAGCCGCCATTCCAGCACCAGCTCAACGCCGTCTTGGGCTTCGACGCCATCCAGGGCCCTTCCTCCTACGCCGTCACAAGCGCGGGGTTGAACAACCCACAGTTCCTCACTGCAAGCCAGGGCCAGTCCTTCTCCCACCAAACCGCCTTTTCCGACCCAGGCTTCCTGCAGGCCTCGCAGAGTCTCTCGCAAAACAACACACCGCATTTTGGCCCCCAAGGCAGCAATAACAACATCTCGCCTGACCCCCTCGATCTAGCAAACACAAACAACGCCGACTTCAACAGCTTCTTTCAGACAAACGAACTTGGGCAAAACCCGTCCTTGTCTTCGTACCTTGGCCAGACGCTTGATCCCCACATACTCGACACGCAGTCGCAGCAGAACCAGTCCGTCAACCCTTCCGATCTCATGCATCAGATGGCAGCCGCACCGCACAACGCGCCGACACCACCCCATCTTCTTCCCAACATGAACAACCACCAAGGCTCAAGCCCGCACGCTTCGCCCAACATGGCTCACGGCGCATTCCGATCCCCAGGGCACTCGCGACACACGTCGCTTGACCCTAGCGCGGCTTACGGGCAAACTTCAGAATGGGGTCAGATGGCGAATGCAAGCTTCGGGGGACCCAGGTCCAGAGGAGGCAGTGACGCTGGCTATTCAGACGTCGCATCCTCGGCGCACAACTCGCCGTACTTGCACCAGCATGATAGCTTCGACAATGACCAGCCGTCACCTCTCCTTCACGCGCAACACGACCCGCAGCTATTTCAGGACCCCGTTCCTGGATTTGACCGATTCAACCTGAACAACAGCAATGCGCACATCAGCGCCTCAAACACGCCCAACATCTCGCCTCGTCTGCTGCCACAGAATCAACAGGCTCTGCCACAGTTCCAGCCTGATACGTTTGGCCTCAACCGGAGCATGAACCCCTATGCGCCTCAAGGCGTGAATGGCTTCTCTGGCCAGAACTCGGAGCCATTCCCATCGCTGAACCAGCCTATGCCTGAATTTGGCCAAGCCGATGCAATGTCACCACCAGAAATCAACATTGATTTCGCACCACCCTCGCGACAAGCAAGCTTCGAGCCACCAAAGGCTGAACCCCAGTTGGATGCATTGAGTCCACCCGACCGATGTAAGCAGCTTAATTGCATTGTATGAGCTATGCTAACACCAAGACAGCACGCAGTCGGAACAGGTCTCGTGCCAAATCTGACCCTTTTAGCAGCGTCAGCTCGCGCGCTTCTACTCCCGGATCGGGCGTTCATCGATCACTTTCTCCCAATGCTGCAAAGTCTCGTTCTCCTTCACCCTCTGGAAAGTCGTCCCGCCGATCGTCCACATCGAGCATGCCCAATCGCGACTACATCTTAGACCTTGCGGACCCCACACGGCCCGCGCCAGCCGATGGCTCGAACCCAAAGCGTACGCAAAAGCACCCAGCAACGTTTCAGTGCACTCTGTGCCCGAAGCGCTTTACACGAGCGTACAATCTCCGATCGCATCTACGTACACATACAGACGAGCGCCCTTTCGTTTGCAGTGTTTGCGGCAAGGCGTTTGCGCGCCAACATGACCGGAAGAGACACGAGGGTCTCCACTCTGGAGAGAAGAAGTTTGTTTGCCGTGGTAACCTCAAGGACGGCAACAGCTGGGGCTGCGGCAGGCGCTTCGCCCGCGCAGACGCTCTTGGTCGGCACTTCCGGTCCGAAGCAGGTCGTGTTTGTATCCGGCCTTTGCTGGAAGAAGAAGCACGTGAGAAGGGTGAATGGAACGGCCAAAATCAGCAGATAAACAATGGCAATGGCATGTTTGCATCGATGCCCGCTCAAAACTTCAACAGTATGATGCCTGGACAGCCTGGCTTTGAGCCGTTCCCCCAGGCTGGCAGCATGCAGGCGCCCCAGCCATTCTTGCCTGCCGCTCTTCTGGCGCAGTACCCCGCGCTTGCAGGTATTCAGTGGGATCAGCTTCCTGCGGGGCCGCCTGATGAAGATGGTGACATTAGCGGGCGCAGCAGCTTCGATGCTTCGAGTGGAGGAGAATATTTTGAGGAGGAAAACGACTTTCAGCAGAGTAATCAACAGCCCATGTATGCAGGCAACAACAATGGGTGGGTGAGCGACTCTTACGACGGCCGATGATCTTTTTCAACTCTACGACTTCTTGCACACTTTCCTCCTTTCAGGGTGGATTGCTTGGACACCGTTTCTCACGCGTTTATGACCTAAATTTTTCCTGTTGCGTTACCGCCTGTTCTGTCGCTTCCTTGTATGTACTGCGCCTATATACCACTTTCATTGCTTCATGGCGCGAAAGCAGGGTTCACTTATACCCCTCTTGGGCTTGGGATTGAACAACATCTCGGAGTTTTACCTAAGGCGATGTGGAGAGGATGTTGTTTTTTGCTTCTTCTATCTCTAGATGATTACAGATACCACATACGAAATGTACCTTTGGGCGTTTGTTTGCACTGTACCCCTTAGTAAATGTGACATCTTAGCTGCAAACAGTCATAGACAATGAGCGAACAAAGGATGTTGCCTGTGGCTTGCTGGGGCGTAGAAAAAAAAAGTAGAAAATATATCCTTGATCTTCACTCGTCATGTTGCTTCTCCTCGATGTGACTATAACAAAAAATATGTTCACTTGTGACATCAACAGCGCCCCGGTAAGCCAAGCAAAATGAAAGGCAGTGCTATACCTCCTCCGCCACACACACACAAAAGAAGAAGATGCCAATCGTATACGCGAAGCCATAGCAGAAGCATCACCATCACCATCATCGATGGAAAAAAAAGGCAAAAAGGATGCAAAGGGCCTGACCGGGATTCGAACCCGGGGCCTGTCACATAACAGATACACTGTATCCAGGTAGAGAAACCCCTAGATAGTTGTTAGGACGGTGTTGGCTGGGTGTTGGTGGCGGCGGGGCAAGCTTACGAAGCGACAATCATACCACTAGACCATCAGGCCGATGCTCTTCATCTGATTTGATGGCAAATTTCTGGGCAGTACCGTTATTGACCTTGGTGAAATTGTATCAGAAATACTGGTACAAGGTGCAACTTGGCGGGGTTGATGGTGGGTGGGCGCTTGTGGTGGGGCATGCGTGGGTTAGTCAGGGCAGTGGGACGTGCTATTCATGTTGACCAGCCTCACTTTACTTATTTGGGCAGAGCTTGCGACCTTGTAAGAAATGCAGAAAATGTTGGTCGACAGGAACAGTCTGTGCAGACGCCCTGTGCAACGTAGTGCGGCCGGAGTAGAGCCCTTTGATGCCATGGTCCCAACAAAGACCCAATAGCCAGCAGGCAAGACGCAAGTACATGTAGCTACAGAAAGACGACACGCAAGCATGCAAGATACCATCATGCTGCCGTCATGATCAGGCCGGTCAGAAGCGCCGAAAGAATGACCGCTGTCGAACGTCTTGGTGGGGTGCTGCGATAGGCTGGTGGTGAGGTGCAACTGCACGCCTCATTTGCGCGCCAAAGTGTCACACAAGGCTTGTGTCGACTAGGTGGAGAGCCGATGGTAGAGGCACAAGTTGTACACTCACACTCTGCACTGTGCATGGTTGCGGGAAGGAGCCGACATCGCTAGGCCTATGGCGATCCCCCCTGTTGACTGTGCGTCGAGCAAGGCCCTACACCGACATTTTCAGAGCGCCATGATGAGGCGACAAGACAAACGGCATAGCGGACGCAGGTCCGCGTCTTGGGTGTTTTGAAGGGTTTGGCCACCCCCTCACTTTTGATACGAAACAGAGACTCAGATGACATGGCGGTGACCTGAGATGGTTCGTGAGAAGCACGCGTTCGCTGCAAGCCCAAAAAAGTGCGGGGAGACGTGCTGCGCATACTATAGTGGGGCGCGCCCATTGGCTCGGGAGCGCCCTTATGCCGCTTGCGCTCTAGCCCGTACCGCTCAGCTCCACTCGCCATGCAGCCCATACAAGACGCGCCTCGGAGTCCGTCGCTACATCCCCGAACACTCCACTCGTCTCGTTATGAAGTGAACAAACTGAGGGGGCTGTACTGAGTCGCCCGACCAACACACTGACCGCCCTGTGCAGAGCAGGGCAATCCAGAACCTCTGGGCCAAGAGAAGCTGACCATGTGAGGCGACTTGGGGCGAGGCTGCCCGGGTTAAAGGGCCAGCTTCCCCTCACCCATCGCGACTACCCTCTCAGCTGTCATTGCCATCCTACCTATCAACACCTGCCTGCCTGCCTGCCTGTCTGTACCTTCCTGCCGGATAGCCTGATAGCACTTGCATACTCCGAGAAACTCCGGGACGTGCTGACGTTTACCAATCCCACCCCCAACCTTATCTCTTCCCAATCTAGTCTCTGGGCTACGACCAAACCGTCCTCTTTCCGCTCTTACCAATCACTATATCTGCTGCTTCGCTCTCAATTGCGCTGCCCTTCCTACTGCCTCCCTCCTCTTCTTCCAACACCATACCACACCACATCACCTCACATTACCTCACAATGGCCGCATCAAAACCTAGCATCCGCGCCCTCAGCGCTCTTGCTGCGGGTCCCCGCCTTCTTGGACCCCGCCTTACAGTCCGACAATTGTCCATGACTGGCTCGACATCATCTTCCTCCCTCACAACCGACAAGCCATACGGCTCAAATCGCTCTCGCGGTCCAATTCGTCTCTCTGGTGAGCAATCCGCCGCTGTGTCCGAAGCCCCCGAGACGGGCAACAACGTCCGCCGCTTCAACACCTCCAGGAGTAGGAAGGCCGTTGGCGACAGCAGCACCCTAGACTTTGCCTACATTCCCGGCTTCGACCCGGAAACCAGGAGCGCGCCTCTGGGCATCAGGGTGCCCATCTTGCCATGGGCTGACGTCCAGGGCCACTCTGCCGAGAGCGAGGGTGTGGTACGTTGAATCCTTATCTAAGCACACGGAACATATAAACTAACTTGAGATACATGTAGGTCCCCATGCAGCCCACCATCTACGCCGTCGGCAGTGACGGCACTCACATCCACTCTCCCTCGGCCATGTCCGACACCACCGACAACAACTCATTTGGCTACCAGAGCATCGCCAACACCGTCGCCAGCAAATTCTCAGCTACCCGCCAGGAAGGCGAGGGCATGGCCAGGCAAATTTGGAATGACCTTGTAGACGACATCATGGGTCCTAAACGTGGTTCCACCAGGGCTTAAGCGTAGGCGGGGGAGGTTTGACATGCACACACATAAAAATTGCTTCTCTTTTTTTGGGGGGTTCACTTGATACTACTACGACATTTTCAAAAACAACAACTGAGTATGTGCATGTATGTATGTATGTGTGTGTGCATGACACGCTTTGACTTTTACGCGGGTGAAAGTACGAAGGAATTGCCCCGCTTTTGGGAGGAAGGGAATGGGCATGGGCATGGGAGCAAGAGTTTTTTTTTACAAACGGATCTGGCGCGAAGTGCTCGGGCATATGAGATCACGACATTACTACTACTTTAATTGAATTACTGTTTTTGTTTCGACACAATCTCTCTCTGACGAATTGTACGCAAGTCTTGTCTGACGTGTTCGTACGTGACGTGTCGACTTTATGTTTACTTGACTAATGTAAGTGTTTGTTGTATGGTCCCTTGTCCTCATAACAAGGAACACTCCTGGAGTATGTAGCAGATGCAAAAAGAAGAAGAAGAAGAAGAAGAAGAAAACTCATCTTAACCGATGGCGTAAACACAGGGCTCCCCGTGTTCCTGGACGAGTGAGTTGTTCATGGTCCGGAAGGATTCAGAAGTCCAGGAATCGGAGTCCGAAAAATAACTGAAAGTCAGGTTGAAAGATTTTTTGTCTTGTTTTTTTTGTTTTTTGACTCAGGGGAGAGATTGTCTGGTTATTCCTTGCCCCATTGGACTATTCCGGCAATTGGGATTGTCAAGTGAAGCTTTGAGTGGTAAAGCGTTTGAACGGGGGTATACCCGATTGAGTATGAGGAATTGGTCTTTTATCGGAAGGGGAGGGTAAAAAGAGCACATGGAGATGATAACACTGTTACGAATGTGTGCAAGTTTTTTTTCTTATCACTCAAAAATTTTAACGGAACTTTCCCTTTTACCTCTCTCTCTTTCTCTCTTTCTCTCCTCTTACGGCCCTTCTACATCCACCCCCCCCCCCCCAAATCGTTCGGCGTATCCCCAAAATCACACAACATCACATTGACACGTCGAGAATCGCGGTATTCGTCTTCATTCGGCCCAATTCCGGGTTTCACGGTGCTAGAATTGGCAGTGTTTAGTGTATATTTGGAGAAACTTGCCGATGGCGATATTATTATCGGGATAATGTCAGAAACGCCCCGACAGCGGAGCCCGATGTGGATAACCGCTTTTCTTGACAAACAAGAAACTGGCCGAAGGGAGGATTCGGCGGGGATTGCTTGTTTTGAGGAGGTGGAGATGAGGGATGAATTGGGGAAGGGGGAAGAGGAGTCCGTAGGAAGAGATTGTGTGTGTGTGTTGTCAGAGTGTGCAAGGGGAGATTGCTAAGTGAAGTGATAGGAGAAGGACAGAATTACGTAGCTAGTGTAAATGGAAAGGCCGCATCGTGAAGAATGAGTGGAGTTGAGTGATGGGGGTCGGTGTTGGCTGGATGGAGTAATTCAGTTTGTGGTATGTGATCGGACCAAAACAAGGATGGGAATGGTCCGTGTGTGGCAAGTATAAAGAGCCATCGACTTGTACAATGATATATTACTCTTCTGCTGTTTTCAAAACCTCTCAGTACTACGAATCCATTGAAATATTTCATGGTGTGCTTAAGAGTAGGAAAGAGATTTATGCTATATCGTAATTGAACTTGGTTGATCCTCATACCTCATGGCGGTATAAGAAAAGATGCAGCAGAGGCGAGCGAAATTTGAACAATGAATATAAGAGATGGATGCTGAAAGTCAGTATTTCTCGTCGCAACTCGACACCAACGAGTACCTAGCCTGGCACTAAAGATGCGCGCGGCTATAGTGGGGTATAATAGTAGTCGGAGCATTGCGTCTGTAAGAGCTAGCTTCGGACGAAAGGGCCCTACTACTAGCCAACAACCTATCACATAATTCGATCGGGGAATGCAAGATCAACAATCCCATAGAATAACCTTCTGAACCCCGCAAAGCAAAAAAAAAGGGCACCGCTAATCTTACTGCAATTCTCAATAGCCGCCTGGCGCTAATTGTAGGGTCTGGAATCCCCAGTTCCCACCTCCACACAAACGTCATTCGCTTCGTCCGAGGGTCAAACAATCAAACAACTGGTGCCTTGCGCATAACTGCCACATTGCACATTCCGCTTCGCACTCCACACCGTATTCCTTCCTGCCGAGCATTTAAGGCGCTACTTACTTCTTCTCTTCTTCCAACCCAAAACCCGCTCCATAATACCGTACATGCCACAATAAAAAACATGGAAAAGCTCCGAGGCGCCGAAACCGCCGCAACGCAACGTCTCCGCAAAACATTCAAGTACCCCTCCGAATCCGACGACGAAGATGCCGTAGAAGCAGGAATGGACGAGCAAGGCACTTCTTTCCTACCCACCCACCCCAAACCCACGTACTAACTATAAACCAAACAACAGACCGCGCAGCCCTCCTCCAAACCCTAACCGCACACGATACATCCACAACCCACAAATACACGCTCTTCCTACTCGTCCTCCCCCTCCTCCCCATCCTGCTCTACATCCCCCGCCTCTTCTCCCTCTCCACATTCCTCCCCAGCATCGCCGCGATAGCAAGTTTCCTCGCCTCAGCATACATACTGTACTTCCTCCCACTCCCACCCAACAAGGGCGCGATAATCGACGACGCGGCGTCTGCGCGCAAAACGAAGAACAACAAACCCAGAATCGGGATTTACGACAAGACGCCTAGCTGGGAGAAGACGACGGAAAAAAGCGTGAGGAGGCCTGTGCCGTATATTTCCGAGACCACGGCGGATGCGATTGCCGAGAATATCATTACGGTGAATCGTGCCTTGTGTGGAATTCTCGCGTTAAGTGAGGTCTGGGTAGAACGAGATTGGAGCCAGGGGTTCATGGTGGGCGGAGGCTTCTTACCCGGTCTGATTTGCTTCGTGGTGTTATGGGCGAGAACAGAGTTACGCATCATTGATATGGATGCGCTGGAGGAGCTGAACAACAAAGCTGCTGGACAATCCAAAGTCAAATGAAAGAAAAATTTCAGGCAAAATCTGGACATCCTTCATCATGATAATCAGAGATACCCCATAACGCAATTGTATATTCATGACCAAAAGATCCCCTCAAACAGAGAGAAAACCCTCGTAATAGCTTTTCCAAGAGAATAGAAAATAAAATGATATACACGCTGCCAAGAAACGAGCGACCAACATCCCGACATGACATGACAGGGGAGGTCTAGGTATCATATGCGCAAGGAAAAAGAAGAAGAAGAAACGCCATCATCCAAGTCTAAGATCAGACCGTAGCCAACGCCATTTCTGGTAACCCAAATAACACATTTGATGCCTGCAAATTACATTGCTGACTTCTTTTTGGTCATTAAAGCATCATACTCTTCCTCCTGCTGGCGGCCCTCTCAGCCCGTAGTGCACTCGTCTCCCTTTCCCTGTCTCGCACTTTTGATTCGGCGGCATCATCATCACCCCTTGTCTTGGTGCCATTAATGCCAGCGCTGTCGGGGAGTCCACTTGCAGCAGCGAGCTTCTTGTCCTTGATGTCTATCGCTCGAGCACTCGATGTACTCCTGGCCATACCGTTAGTACTGGAACTTCTTGCAAGGCTTGAAGTGCTGCTACTTTTTGTAGGCCCGCTTCCAGTACGCTTGTGCAGCGAAGGAAGTGCACCTTCCGTCTTTTCCCTCTCTACTCTTCGCTCCTCAGACGCCGATGAAGCTCCTGGTGCGGGCATAGCGGAATGGCGACGCGCATTTCGGGCCGCTTTGGCGGCTTCATTGACACGTGTGCGCTGACTAGTTGCAGCTTCAGCAGGTGGAGAGTCCGTAAAATCGAAAACGGCCAGACTGTCCTTCTGCTGTGACTCTGTCTTTACCGCAATCGTGTCTGCTGAAACAGGAGCATCTTCAGTTTTGGCTGCAGTTGACTCTGTGGCAGATTTTGGAGCGGCAGAAGCCATTTTTCTTTTGGCAGTGCTTGTTTCGTTGATGAGCGCGGATATCGCTTTTGAGGTAGCTGATTGTTCTTCTGGCTCAGCTGATGCTTTCGAATCCTGGTCTCTTCTATCCAGTTTTTGTCTTAGCGGGCTCCCCGCCTCAGCCTCTTCCTCAGCTGCTCTTCCAGATACTGCGGACACGGGTTTCCAGGCAATCTCCCCGTTGGCTTCACGCTTGACAACCGTCGAAGGTGGGTTGTGAGATTCGACACTTGTCCGCCGATCCACCACTGCATCAACAAGCTTTGCATCTGGGCGTCGCATCTTCACATTGAGGCTGGGCTCTTTATAGCTAACTTGGGGACGTGCTCGTCGCCCCGGTCGCCCAGCTTGCCCAGTTTGATCGGCTGAGGATAGATCGCCCGGTGGTGGCGTATCTTTGTTTTCCGGTCTTTGGGTCGAGGGTTCGGTTGATGGTGGAGAAATAATGGCATCCGCAGCTGGAGTCTTAGGGGGTAAGGAGTCCAAAATGATATCAGCCATAGGGACGGGCTCTGGTAGGGGTATAGAAGGGAGGTCTGGCGTGGTATTCCGGGTAATGTTCAAGCGAGGGCGGCTACGAGCTTTTGCGGTTGGCTTCTCCAACTTTCCTGGTTTTTCTTGGGCTGAAGAGCGTTGTTTTTTCGGCGATACGACTGGGTCGGTGTTGACAGGTTCTATGACATTAGCTTTGCTCATAAAAAGAATAGCACTGTGCTTACTGGCTGAAAGGACTGGAAGGCGATCCAAGGCGGGGAGTCTCGGTTCTTCGTTGGATGTCTCAGTTTCTGCGGCATTCCGACGAGAAAACCGAAAGGCATCGCTCTTGGCTTGATTTGTATCCTCATCTTCCTGAACACTGAACTTGCGCTTAGCTCCCGTACGTACAGGCTTCGCAGGTGCTTCTTCAGTTTCTTCTGGAGACTCAAATACGGATACACGGCGTATGCTGAGCTTTGGCCCACTCTCTCGTCGCTTCTTACGCGTCTCGAGATTGACCGAAAGCGACGGCTCGCCATCTTCGGCTGTCTCTTCTTGCGGCTCTTCTGCAACTGGGCTGGGATCAAACCCAATAGGATCCTCGCTCTCGAACCGCGAAATTGGGGGTGGGCCAATATCTGGCGATTGGCTATCAGGGTCTTCCAGCACTTGCTGAAGCTCGTCCGCACTACACACGTTAGTAAAACCCAATGTGCAGATACATAACATCTACATACCCCATGGTTCTTCGAGGATAAAATTTGTCCTCCGTGATTGTAGGCAGCATTGCATTCTCGACTTCTTGTAGCCCCAACCCACTCCTCCACTGTCTTTCCTCTCCACTTCTCCTCTTTGCTAGCAGCTGGCTTTTTCGCCTACCTGCATCTTTTTCGCGTCCGTTCTTATTCTGTGTTAGGCTTGCTACCAAGCCTCCAAGTTCCTGTAGCTTCGATTCAAGCTGCAGCTTGACAGCATCAATGTGGTCGAAAGCTGGACGCGACTCGACGGTATTATGAAGGCTGAGCACCTGCTCGCGCAGTGCCAGATTTTCAGCGAGGAGTCGCGAGCAATCATTCTCGAGGCTGCGGATGCGTATGGATTGGGTCGAGTTTGTCTTTGCCAGTTCGCGGTTCTGTCTGAGAAAGCGTCGTTTTACGGCTTCGATGGTTTCCGCCGATGGCTGATTTGCTATCGGCGGCTCGTTGAGTCGCGCCATTTGCGCAGATAGGTATTTCGATGGTAATTATACTATTAGGGGACAATCGCGTCGTCGTGGTGGGTGGGATGCTGTACGTCGTGAGTCGTGGCTGCCAGTTCGTCATACTGTTTGTTGACAACTCGAGCAGCGGGCCCACAGCAACAGGATCTAAACCGAAATTGGCAAGACGAAAACATGATCACATGACTAGAGGGGCAACGGCGCCTCTACATACAAGCAACGCAACGTCGACGACAGTGAGACTTGTGAAAGAGTCCAGACATACTTTGGTAGAATTTCCGCCATTAACTACGATCGAAGAAGAGAATCTCATATATCTGCGCATCAGAAACCCCACACTGTAACAACATCTGCACACTTTTCGCACCAACAAAAATCGTCAAAACACCATTGCACAAAGAATCGTACCTGATTCCCTGAGAAAATGTCGAATTTTGGACGTCCTCTCCCTTCGCACCTGCGTAACCAATCTTTGGGCGGCTCACAGCAACAATCGCCGGTCTTACTCGCCCGTATCGCGGAAAAGAAAGCTGAGCTTGCGAACCTAAAAGACCTGCAAGCTCTTAGTGGAGGACTCGCGGACCAAATGCAGATGCTAGCTGACAAGCTCTCGACACTGTCTGATGGTACAGAAGGTATGTTCAAATTGTCCTTGGACAGATTTGCACACGCCGGCAAGGGAAAAACATCATGGAGAAGTCAGGCTGACATCGAGGCGCAGCGGTTGCAGCAGTACTCTCGAATTGGCACAACGTATTGAGAGCTATCAATATGGCGTCAAGTAAGTCATCATGTCGTATGAATGATTCTATACTTGGTCTGACGAGTTACAGCAAAACTGCCAAAGCCAAAGGATGAAGAGGAAGTAGAAAAGAAATCGGAAGATGGACCACCTCTGCCGCAGACACTTGTTCGCATTCCCACTCAGCACGCGCCCACGGTAATTGAGCAAGCCAACGCAGCAAATGCAGAAGAGTGAATCCGCGTACGGGATGTAGAAATGTGCTGGCATGGCGTCTCTTCTGCGCTAAAGGATGTGGTGTGAAGGATGTGAAAGGAGGTGTGATGAGGCATGAGTGCACGATCGGACTCGAGATGAGACTGATGTCCGATTCGCGGAACACAGCATACGAGGGTGGTCGAGCAATGTTCCAATACGTGCATATGCAGTCGAGCCCAACATCCATTGAGATTGCTTTTCCCGCTGGTATGCTGGAAGCGAGCTAAGTCACGGGACCTGACATGCGTAAAGGGCCAAAAAGGACGTCACCGCCAAGGTAGGAAAAAGGAAGAAGCAGGAATGGTGGAGGCCTGAAACACAAGCTCCTGTGAATTGTTTGCGAGTTTACATGTGAGATTCTAAAGTGCTGGAAATTCATTGGCAAATATAGGCCTTGTTACATAACGCCCTGATGCATCTACAATCTAGCATCCAAAGTTTTACAGACTTCCAAGTCCAGTATCCCATGCTATGCAATAACGCAGTCTCAATCAAATTGTACCGATCGGACATGCCAAAAACTCCACGCGAAAACAAACCCCACATAAAACAATGAAAATCGTGTTCAGTTCGTATGCGCCGAAGCCAGGTGCAGCACCGTGAGCGCATCAATTGAGGCGCTGTAACCATCTACTTCTTCTGCTTCGGCATCTTCTCGTAAGCATTCGGGCTGGGCTTCCTCCGCTGCCTCTTTGTTTTTTGTGGCTGGCCCGAGCCCTCATTACATCCGTGATTTTCTGCGCATCCGTCGTGGTCGTGCTGGTGCGGCCGCCTTCCCCGCGCGGCACCAATCCTGCCGGCGGGCCTGGCGGTACTGTTGTCAGGTTCGGAATCTGAGTCCGAGTCTGATGAAGAGGAATCTGAAGAGTCGTCGTCGGAAGACTCATCCACAGCGCGAGGTTTGTGATAGATGCAACAGACTTTGTTCAGGTGTTAGCGGGTCTAGCAGCAAAATGACGTGGCGCAGCTTGCAGTACCTTTGGACGACTTCTTGCCCATGCCTTCGTTGTCAACCACGTCCTCTGCCCACTGGATATGTCGTCGCTCGGTGGGCTCTGCTCGCAGACGGAGCACGCCTGATGGAGCAGACAGGCGCAGGACAGGCGCAGGACGGATCTGTATTGTCCTACTTCCGGCGCTTGGTGTCACAGTACGTGGTGACGTAGTACGTTGGTGGGCGGCCATGTTGTCGAAGTGCGCAATGTTGGGTTGAGTTGAAAGTGAATTCAGGGAACGGGACCCTCGAAGAAGCGGTGTTGCGGGCAGCAGGCGGGGTGGTTGTTATGGAGCTACGCAGGGACCAAAAGGAATCGTGAATTGGCGTGTTGAGGATGAAGGGC